TCAATTAATTTTTTTTTCCTGAACTTGGAGTATCATTTACATGGTCTTTTTATAGTACTTTTCTACTTTTCTATAATCATCTCCAATGAAATCAAATTTATAGGATATATGTAATACTAATTCTGGTATAAGTTTTATAAAAATCTTGTATAAAAATGGCAAGAAATGGTGAACAAAAGTGTGGAAGTGCCGTTACAATGCATGTGTGCATGATATTCTCCATGTGTGCTTAGAAACGTCATTGTTGTATGCCACTGTGTATTGAGTCTTCTGTTGTTGTATATACAGGGAAATTTTCACTGCACATGAGCTTTCACCCATTTTATCTTTTTTTGATAAAGGCAGGAGTAGGTGTGAGGTTGCATTTCAGCTGTATCATTGTATGTTTACTTCAGGCAGAAATTAACAATGAAGAAATATTTTTTATGCTTGAGGAAAAAATCCTGGTCGAATATTTCCTTGTTTGAATATTTAATAGGTTACTGTAAGACAATAGCTCAAAGTAGTTGAATTGATCTCTCTACTCATGAAATCCATTTTAATCCAGCATGTTATGTTGTCCAATAATGAGCTAACAAGTGTCATGTATCATTACTTTGTTTTTATTTTGTAGAACAGAGTATAATAACATTCTAATTATAGCATTACAAAATGAAGGAGGGATGGGATTACTTATTTTTCTTAATTAAATTTTGATGCCTGAATTGTATTTGTTTATTAAGAATTGGTCACAAATTTTGAAATGTTTTCAAATATCTTGAAAATATTGTGAAACACTTAATCATCTCAAGACAGTTGTATGCTTCTATCCAGGCAAGCAATTAATATAACTGACAACTTTGTTTGACAGTTGATAGGAAATAAGTAAAAAACGTTGTTTTCCTAAAATCATATTTCATATCTTACCAATATACTGTTGTAATAAAGATGTAGGGGATTTTTTTTGTTTCAGTATAATCTTGTACGATACATATCACTTATTTGTCAGAATTGGCTTCACCTCATCATCATATTCTAAAATTTGGTACTTTGCTCATATATAAAAAGAGTATGTGCCAGTTTGTTTTCTTTCACAATGTGTCACATTGTATGGGAATCTACAGTAAAAACTTAACTGAAATATCACTTAAAGATTGGGTTTTAGAACAAAACCAGTTATGGCCCTTTGCTGACTAATTGTAAATATTGTCTTCAACATATCTCATACCACCCCAATTGCCAAATCTTAAAGTTCCTTATCAAGTGCGAATTGTTACACGTCTATCTACATTCATTGATAATACTTCTTTAGCCAAATTTTTGTAGGGGACATTGAATATCTTAAAAGTCTGCCATCTTTCAGCAGCGGTCTTTAGATAATCTTTAAAGTCTGATATCTTTCAGCAGCGGTCTTTAGATAATCTTTAAAGTCTGACATCTTTCAGCAGTGGTCTTCAGATATCTTAAAAGTCTGACATCTTTCAGCAGCGGTCTTTAGATAATCTTTAAAGTCTGATATCTTTCAGCAGTGGTCTTTAGATATCTTTAAAGCCTGACATCTTTCAGCAGCGGTCTTTATATATCTTTAAAGTCTGACATCTTTCAGCAATGGTCTTTGGTATATTTCTTGTCTGTACATGACATCCATTGGTCAGGTTACTGCTGTTTGTAATCAGTGCCATGACTAATTTTGCTGTTATTGTACACATCTACCGACTCTATATTATTATCTTGCATTCATTACGTCCTCTAACTTTATTCATCTGTATAAAAGCTGTTGATTTTGTGTTTATCAGTTGATTATTTCACTGCAGTTTCAGAAGCATATCTTGTACATCTTTGGTACCGTACAACCGTAAGATATTTTTCACAAGTACATATAAAAGATGATTATACTTGAGGGAAAAAATGAGCAGAAATGACTAGCAATCCTTTCAAAGTGTTACACAGTATCAAGTTTTAAATCAAACAAAATTAGAAAATGATGCCAAATGTAACATGTGAATTTAAGTAAATAATTTTTTTTTTTAAATATAATTTAACTTTTCTGCATTTTAGTATTCACTTCCCTTTTTATCTCTACATTTGAATATAATGATGTTTTGTTGCATTTATGAAAAATACACATATCAATATATAAAAAAACAGCATAGTGCAATACCTGGTTTTATCTGTTCTTATAAAATTTATTTATGACAATTCAAAGAATGTAGCTTGATATTTGAATTTTCATTAATTAAAAATTTACCTTTTTTTCTGTTTTTTTTTTTTTTTCTAATTTGCTACATAAATATGTTTGAGAGTTGATACTCACTGCTGTTTTGATTTCCCACTACATGGTAACTTTGTCTGAAATCTAGAGGCTTTGGAGAATGAGTGGACTCTGCAATGTTTTATCACTGAACAATCTATCATTAGTGCTATTTTCGCTCACTTACATCTTACAAAAAGAAAAAAAAAAAATGATAAGTTAAAAATAGAAATCATATGAAGAAAATAAAAATATTCTCATTTAGAAACATTTTGGTATCTGTGTTATAGTTAATTTGATGGTATTATGTGTATATTACATATTGGTTACAATGCTGAACTCTAGCTTTTGGCTGACCTGACATCATTTTGCTTTACTATATCAACAATGACAAGAAATGTGAGAATTTGATGGGTGATATTACTAACTATTTACGATCTAGATTCTCTTCTTAGCAAACTAAATTAGATCAATTATACTGAAAGTTTAATGTTAATTAATGTATTTTTGACAGATGATGACATCATCCAGACTGAGAACAAAATTTAGGTAGTTACACAGGTCAATATTGATATAGATGAAAAACAAGTTTGTTAGTTTTAAAAACACTGCTGAAATAGAAAGTTTTAAAAACACTGCTGAAATAGAAAGTTTTAAAAACACTGCTGAAATAGAAAGTTTTAAAAACACTGCTGAAATAGAAAGTTTTAAAAACACTGCTGAAATAGAAAGTTTTAAAAACACTGCTGAAATAGAAAGTTTTAAAAACACTGCTGAAATAGAAAGTAAGCTACCACTTGTTCAGTAGATCAATCCTGACTCACTTTGAGAATGAATACAACGTTGTTTATAGAGTCCTTACTGATTGAAGAGAAAAGAACTCAGAATTATAATCATATTTTCCTTCTGTGCTTATTGTACATATAGCTATATAGAATGTTTCCACTTTTTCACAGTTACTGAGCGAATGAATTGTGTGCTGTAATGTTCAGCCAACAAACTTTCATAAATACTAAAAATAACCATTGTATTTGTTTATAAAGTATATTTAGTGCCATAATCATACATTAATCAGAAAAATCTATTTCAAATCTATTTTTCCTTATACAACTGTTATCTAATAAAAATGTAATTCAGTTGAGTGTTGTCATTCTTGTTGTTACATAACTGACCGGCCGAGTCTGTATCATTGTGAAAGTGACACTTATACTGTGAAAACAGAAACACGAGAAAGATGCCTGAGAGAACAATTCATGGAATTATCTATATTTCAACTGACAGTAAACGTCTATAGGTTTATACACTAAGATCTCATGGTTAAATTTACTATTAAGACAGGTTCTTGATGTCTCCAGAGATGCTTGATGATGTAATTTTGTACAAATTGTGAATTGCACTCCGTATCATATGGGACAAAAATGTAAAAAATAACTGGGGGTTTTCAGTGTTCAAGACAAATTGAGTGAATTTTAACATTTGTTATTCTACAATAAGAATATTCTGAATATTGTAAGAAGAAGCATTTGATGTTATGAAGACCTATGTCCACCTTAGTGTTTCCTTGCAAGCCTAAAGGATACTGGTGTTTGATTGGATGAGATTTTATCCAATTCCTCAATTCTCATAAGGTCAATTTTGCAATTTTGACAATCTCATGCACTTGGTTTTACCCGAAATATGTGCATTCCCTTTCACTTCCCGATTTCATGAATAATTAGTTACAAAAGATGGAGTCTGAAGTGGCAAAGTATTTTATTCTGGATTCAACGATGATTACAGAGAGGAAAGTCCAGATCAGGTTAACTTCTTTTATTTAAAATTCAGCAAATTCAATTAGTGCTGTTTTGGTACATGATAACACTAGTACTCGGCTCCGTTCTAATTCTACCATAGACTATTTGACCTATGATTGCAATGATAAAGAAATACTACTACTTTATAGTACTCTAATCGGAAAATTACAAAGATGTTAGGAGTTAACCATAAATAGACATTTCTCTAAACTCTAGTTAGGAAATTTCAAGGATGTTACCACTTAACCATAAATAGATATATCTCTAAACTCTAGTTAGGAAATTACAAGGATGTTAGGAGTTAACCGTAAATAGACATATCTCTAGGCTCTAGTTAGGAAATTACAAGGATGTTACCACTTAACCATAAATAGACATTTCTCTAAACTCTAGTTAGGAAATTTCAAGGATGTTACCACTTAACCATAAATAGATATATCTCTAAACTCTAGTTAGGAAATTACAAGGATATTAGGAGTTAACCATAAATAGACATATCTCTAAAGGATGTTAGGAGTTAACCATAAATAGACATATCTTAACTCAGGATTGATTACTATAAGTAGCTTGAAAAGCTGTTTAAAACTATACCTATATTAACTACAATTTTCCTGCCTGAAACATGTAATTTCTAAAGACTGTTTTGTCTATCAATACAACTAGAATGTGACAGCCATGCTTACATTGGAAACACAGTCAAACAATGATTGTGCTAAATACGAAAGGAAAATTTCAAAATATGTGAACAGTTACTTGCAATTTGATTTTGACTTAATGCTTCACTTATTTATGAAAAACATTTAAACAATTTTAAGATAATCCATCAGTTTGTCAGTTTTTTTTTTTGTATTTTTTATTATTAATTAATTTTTTCAAGAATGGTTTCTGTTTTTATGGTTTCTTAAAAATGAATATTTCACTTTATAGAAAATTTCTTTTATATTTCTTATACCAGGTAATTTATTTAATCGTTTCAGCCGAGGACCAAAGGCCAGTGATGACTTATGTGCAAAATACAACTTTGTATATAGTGGGACATACAAGTGGGTCCAACCAGAACAGAGCAAAATTTGAGCATGGACGAATGGAGAATACGAAATCAAGAAGTGGAGGACAGATTAGGAAGAACATTGTAAAATGATTGCAGTCAATAACAGATTCCTGTTGGCCTGGCATTTCAATATTTATATATATTTATATACATTATATCTTTTAAGTGAACAAATTGGTATCGGAAAGTTTTTTCTACAAAACTGTGATTTTTGTGTTTTTCATGATTTTATACCAGTTATCAAGTTTTAGCGAAGATGTTTGGGTTCCTTTTTTTTTTAAAAATGGCATTGTTAAGTATAATAATAGTTTGTCAGGTTTTGTCGCACGGATGATAGTTTAGATCTGATGTTATGTTTTTTTCTTGTTAATCAAAGTAAACTTTCACTACAAAATATTTTGATTTATTCTATTTAAATGTCAAATTTAAATTTTGTCTCCCAAGTGTAACTTATAATGTGTGTTAATGTAAACATTGTTTAGTGTTATCCAACTAGAGAAGAATGACCTTTGAACTTTGCATGAATTATGCTGATTAGGTTGCATTCCTTCTTAGATATATCCACTGGCTATTTGTTGGATGTGTAGTGTACAGTAGTAGATGCATGCAGTTGGTGTGGACAAACTGTGTTCCCTATCATTATATCAACTGGTCAGTAGTCAGTATGACAATGAAAGGTGCACACAGCATGTCGGTGTGATTGCACTATAATTCATGTGTATAAGACAGTATGAATTGTAGACATGGAAGAATGTCTGGCTTTGTTGCTTAGATGTAATGATTTGACTGTGAATTTTTAAACATATTTCAGAATTCAAATTCACTAACAGAGAGAGTTATTTGATCTTGTAAAATGATGTGTAATATGCAAAAGCAAAATATTTCCATATTTTTATGCAATTTTCAATTTACTTCATGGATAAACTTTTCTTATAAATGTGTTTTGTGTACCTCCCCATGTAGATTTTGACTTTTTTTTCAATCACATTTCATTTTATCCAAGATAAATTTGCCTCGGAAAGTTTGGAAAAAAGTTGGAGGAAAAAGTGCAGTTTTAAATATAGACCAACAATATGACTCATTTACCTGGGAAAACTTATGTATGGTATGCTATTAGTAGATTTAGATATATTTGTATTGTATGTACTGAACATATAGAACAAAAAGAATTCTACCGATTGAAATTATTGTCAGTTGGGTGACTGTCAGACTTGATCAAATGGAGAATCTCATGTTTAAATCAATATCATATTTATGTAACCACACCTTTTTATTAAACTTACTATGGATTCAATATCCAGAACATTTAATATTTATAACACATTATTTATTAGAATGTGTTCAAATGATCAGTGAACCCAAGAATGATCAGAAAGTAACAAAATATAATTGTCAACTGATATAACTATCAGAAAGTGATATTATTTCCAAAATTTGTTTTAGAACTGAAAGGACCTTCTAATTTCAGTCAATGCAATATATGGAAGGGTATATACTTATGTGTTGAACAATCAATTATATTGACTGCCACGGAGTTGTCTTTCTTGCTGGACAAGATACAAAGCATTATAAAGCATGGCAGTATACAGTAGACATAAAAGTCGACTTTTATATCTTTTCTGTCCGCACTCTTCATTTTGACGTAAAATCGTATAAAATCAACTATGAGATTGAACGTCAGGATCTGTGATGTAAAAAAACTTTACATTCAAAATATCATCAGCATTTTTAAGGAGACTTTTTTCCTTGTGTTACTTTTGTAAAAAGAATTCATAGTTTTGATATTCTTTGATATATAGTCATTATGAAAAGTTTAGTTAATAAATTTATGGTTTCCACTCCTGTAGATGAAAAGTGAATAGATATTAGCAGTTGTGATGTATTTTGAGAGTGAAATATTTACGATATAAATTCAGATAGCCATAAAAAAACCCCACCAATATTGAATACATGTCTTTTTTGGTTTGTTTTGTTTCTTCTGTGGCGATACGCTTTTCATACATTTCCATATTAAAACACTCCATATTCCAAGAAAAAAACATTTTCAAGTTTCACAAAAAATTTGTAAACATCTTTTATCAAAGAGAGTCTGCTATCATCTAAAACTTTTGGTGATTGAATAAAGGAAATCAAATTGAAGTTATTAAATCACATTTAAAGGAATTCTCATACATTTTATCTGGTTTACTGAAACACAGTATTTTAATATTGTATTTGATGTATTTATGTGCTAAAATAGACATTTAAGTGTGAATGTATGTATAGGTTTTTTATGTGTGTTTTTCCTGAAGCCAGACATATACTTGATGTATTTGTTTTTTTAAACAAGTCATTTTTTTCAATTGCTATTTACCTCATCTGGTCAGATTGCCCATTCATCATTTCAAAAGAGTATTTTTCTATAAAATTTGGAATAAATTTTGTAGGAATCCTGAAGCAAAGTTGATTCAGTTACATAATTGAGAGAGAGAACAAAGAGTGTGTTGCCAAGTTGAAGAAATAGAAGATTTGTAACTCCTGAAGTTAGTGAAAATGTCCTTTCAACGTCTGTCCCTATTTTGAAACTGTTACTTGGTAAGACAAATCGTACAGAACTAGAAGTGTGTGTAGGCGTCTTGACTGTGAGTAGGATATGATTATTAGTTTGAAGAGTGCAATTAGACTATTTGAATATATACAGTGTACATTCAATGTAGATTTTTTAGTTTCTTTAAAGTATTATTTGTACTTTAATTGTATAATCACTTTAAAGGGACTTCATGGTTGGATTTTGTTATTTTTTCCTATGTGTTTGATTTCAGGTAAGCATTGTAATACTTAAAACTACACTCTAAACAAAATTATAACACTCTCTGAGAAAAATTGATAAACATTATCAGCTTCATACAAACGCTAGTCGACACTCGCTGTTTAGTCTACCACCCATCGTGTTTTGATCGGAGAAACCCGAGTTCATCACGTGACCTTTCGGAGCCTCATTTTAATCCGCCCTTTTGATATGATTTCTTACTATGTATAATTATGTAATTAGCAAAAACTTAACATGCCCGCCATTTTTCAATTCTTACTTTGTAAAACGACCTCTTGTTTCACGCAAAATAAATGAATTTGAATTAGTATGAATCTAAAATTGCATGCGCAAAGACATTGTTTACACTCTCTGAACGATAATGATTTGAATTAGTGTTGGGTCCCTCTTATTTTATTGCAATTTTTTTATATTGTTGTTAAAATAGTTATGCAAACTATAAAATATTATAAATAACAGAAAGTACATTATTCTAACAGATATTTAAATGTTATAATGCTGTTTATCAGTAATGAAATGAATATCCAACCATTTAGTCCCTTTAAGAAGTTGTACAGGTATCAGTTATTTTACTCCCAGTTATTACCATATGAGTGCTACTGTTATTGTCATACATACATGTTCTGTAAGTAATTTGATTAAGTGCTACAAATATCTTTGATTTAACTCATGAGTCTTTTTGTATGTATTATAACAATTTATAAGTGCTATTAGTAGTATACATTATTAGTTGAAAAAGTGCTATAAGATTATACATTTACATAAGGTTTGAAGAAAGTATTGACAGGAGCGAAACATTTTCTTCAGGTTGTTTGTTCTGTATCAGGATTTTGAGTTATTATTTTGTAAATTATTGTAGTCAATACAATTCATAGGGTTTCATATTGTTAGTACAATATTCATGTTTTAGTCCTAAATGGAATTGATTACTTTTAAAAGCTCCGATATGTAAGATATTCATAATATCAAAGGTTAAAGGACCTCAGATGTATTTCTGTGACTTGTTCCCTGTTTTAGAGACAAATTGTTTCATTATGCAAACATTCCTTACCATCGCATGTAAAATATAAGTGGACTTAACTTTGTTTTGATTTTTGTTGATTTTCCACAATAACATCTAAAACCTTGACAGAAAGTTTTCCTACATTCAAAATGCTTATCCCCAAGGCTGCACTCAACAGTCATGAAGCCAAGTAGAGTGATCCAGTTTGAGACTATATATAAATACGGAAGTTATACTGAAGTTTTTATACTGAAAAAATCATTAATTTTTCAAGAGAATTTCATTTAGTTTGATTACCCCCTACTTTTATATCAGCAGATTCAAATGTCGTTGTATTAGTAGATCTGATATGAATTTTGAGTACTTTAAGCAGATTTTGCGAAAACAATTGATCCAGGAAGTCAAGTTGACATGAAAAAGTAATTTTCTACTTTGGAAGAAAAAATTCAAGCTCAGCAAAATGCATATGGGCTGAAAACAATTTAACAACAATGATTTATTTGCAGGTTTTAATTTAGGTATTTTTCATTCATGTTAATTAATCATTAGATATGAAAGTATTGACATTGTTATATATATCAGCTATTTTTACTGACATCGACTGATTGAATCATTTGAAAACATGAATTTATACAAAATCTTACTTTGTTGATTTATTTTATTACATTGCCAAAGGTGAAAGACAGGCCTTTGTTACCAAAAACACCAGAAATAGTGTGTCCATTGATACCTTTCAAAAATTATTTCAAATATTTTCATATTCGAGAAGGTAACACCCTGAAAGACAGGAACAGAAATCCAATGATGATATATTTAAGAGCCTACTCGGCAACAGTCATGCTCTTTAAAGATCACAATATCCATACTTGTTTGATTTTGTTCAATTATCAATTATTATCATTACAAATGATAGATTGAAAATAGAAAATACACCTCATCTATCAACTGTCTGAAATTACCAAATGATGTATTGGATAGTTTTACCTCCAATAGCCCTACAGTGTACTTGTAGTGTTGGTATAGACTCCTTCGCGTTTTCCTGATCTCCTCTTGGATGTATGAAATGCCTTCAAACCCTATAATATAATGGATAATGCTTCATCATTTACATAGGGAAATTTAGACCTATATGGGACACATTAAAAAAAATCGGTCTTGGCTGTTTAAAGGTTTATAATGAACTATAATTTCATGTATAGTTGCTTTATGTCCTAGTAACAGCAAGGGTAATTTAAGGACGTGCCAGGTTTGGCTGGAGGAGGAAAGTTGGAGTTCCCAAAGGAAAACCACCAGCCAGTACCCATTACCTGGAGACTACCAAACATAGGCCTCGAACCCGCGACCCAAAGGTGGAGGGCTAGTGATAAAGGCACTCAGAGGCCTTAACCTCTTGAGCATTGTGATATCATAATGAACTATTACCGTCATAGACTATACAAACATGTTTTATAGATTCAAAGTTTTCCTCTCATTCCAACTAAGCCTAATTTTAACTGAAAATATATTACTATAAAGGATTTTGATTTATTAACACTAGTATCGTCACAATCATATCTGTTTTAAAAGTAAATCAGATGTGGGTACTGTATTATGATAAAACTGCTCGTGGAACCTGCATGTCCCTTGTGGTGCTTTGTAAGATAGTTATTGTGAAGTATTGTCAAACTATCATGACATCCGAGATCAATGTTTAACCAATATGAGCACTATGTCAAACCAAATCAAAAATCTAAGACAATGACCTATAAATTAGTGCTGATTGTGAAGTGAAGTGTCAAGACTGGGTGATGCACAGTTCCAGTCATCCTGGATACTCAAAGGGTTACAATCACTTTTGCTCTCTGCATCCCTAGAACATCTCATAACAAAATTGAAGGTCTGTGTGCAACACTTTGTGGATAAGATGAGAACACTAGTTTGATCCTTTGATGTTCATCAAGTGAATCTCAAGGTTGCATAACAGTATATTGTACTGACTTTGGAGTTAGGTGGTGTGTCTTTGTAATCGTCAGTCTGTGATTGGTCAGATTTTTTTTTTCGTCTTGAAATGTTCCATGGGTGCGGAGAGTGAGAGTGATTGTAATCTTTTGAGTATCCAGTGAAACAGACAAAAACCCTAATGTGATAGCTAACAAAAAAGCCAAACAAAATCAAACATATATTTCACAATGACCTATAAATAGCACAGCAGTGATGTTGATGTATACATATGTCAAACTTCAAAACTTAATAAACTTAATAAAACGCAATTCCAGAGAGAAACCAACAAACACTCAATGTACCTTCACTATTGTGTTTGGGGCATAAATTACAAGACTTGACATGCATAAGAACCTGACCTATTAGCTAGTGTAAAGCGTCTCGAGGGGACGCTGATAAAACATGAAGCTGACTCTGACAGTATTTCTGTCATGTGACCGATATATCCAAATACTCCAACTTAACTTCTGTTGATCCGTCTGTCCAGCCGGCATCAATTTTAAACTAGCGAAATGTTCTTCAGAGAAGGGCTTTCAAGTTGGTTCGACCTGATTAATTTACTTGTCTCTAAGACTACAAGTCACAACTTCTTTTAGAGAACCATATAGGCTAGGGTCATGATATACGACCAGTAAATGCCATCAAGAACAAATTTTTAGTTTAAAGTTTAAGAAAATGAACTTGACCAGACCCACTTCAAAAGGTCACTGGGATCAAATATTTCAGAATATTCAAATGACTATTATCAAAAAGCACCTGATCATAATACCGACAGAAGCATACTTTGATAAAATGACATTACACAAAATGGATTCTAATGTGAAAGTGACCCATCATTGACTGATATTTTCCCACTTTCAACCTATGCTTTGTTAAACATAAACTACTTTAAATGGCTCTCTGGTTGATTAACCAGTAGATCATCACATCAGACCAATGGCTTGCTATGGTGAAAAACATACAAGTTTGTTAAAATTAGGTTATTGACCTTCACCAAGGTTAAAGGTCACATGGTTTTTTAAGTTGTGTTAAATGCATAACTGTATGCAAATTTTAATGTCGGGTTTGTTGGAATTGTTAATCCTGATTATCAACTGGACCCGTGCCATGGTATTGGACTAGTAGCTGACATATTGGCATCAAGACAACGGCTTACAAGATTGTAATTATGTTTTACTTTAACCAAATGTCAGATTCACTGAGGTCAATTTTTAATGACACCATCTGAATGACTTAAGATCCATGTTCATGTTATTTGAGTTATTGGCATTTTCGAGTCTACGGCTGTCAGAGTATCTAAAACGATGTACAGAAGCTATATGTGTTCAAAGCTTCAAATAATTTCCAGACACGGGGTCAACGTATTGAGTAACAACATGTAGATAAATGACCTTGGTCCACATTTTAAACGGCTAACGGAAAGACAACTTGGCCCACATTTAAACGGCTAACGGAAAGACATATGGTCAAAATATTGGGTCAGTCATATACAGGAATGAAAGGATATCAATTTTGTGAAAATGAATTTCTTTGGCCAACTTTCACTTCAAACTTTCTGAATTGTGTAGTATCACCATATGTAAACTTACTGGAATTAAAGGATTTTCCATTTGAGATTAGCTTGAAGTTAAGAAAATTAACTTTTCAAGTCGGGCCTTCTCTGCATAAATTCCTGCTGCAGAACAAGTGAACGACGAATTCCTACGGTACCACATACTGCATTTTTTTAACATCGTAAAAGTCAGATAAAAACTGGATAGTCTGACATGGAGATCATATTTCTGGAAATGCCTTAAAGATCTGTTCATCTGGTTGTGATATTTTAAGTGACATGAAGACGCCGAGAGACGGTCTTTATTTTCTGTTGAATATATTCAACAATATTCACATAGATCTCAGGAGCTTGTATTTCGAAAAAACATTTCTTAACGTCAAATTAAGTATCTAAAAACTTCCACCAAACAAAGACGTATCCTAGGTTACTAAGAAATGTCTACATCAAATCAAAAGACTACCGATGTCAACATCAAGTAGTTTTGAAAGTTTTCATATTTTCTATCGATCGGTGTGAAATCGAAATATTATACATAAGGCCTAAAGAAACTAGCCTGATTTTTTCAGTTTGCTTCCATACCACCCAATCAATGGGAATATAGGCTTCCTGCAGTTCCAATACAGTTTTTATAAACTGTGGCTTTATGTTACTGATGTAAGTTAGTGTATGCCTCATGTTTTCTGCAGTTGTAACAAAATATCGGAAATCGCATTCGAATGCGCCGAATTTTTCATCCGGGTGTCTGAACTTTTTCCCGCCTTCAAGATTCTGTGACGTAAATATCGGAGGAAGCTGGAAGAGGACAACTTTAGACATAAGATCAGGTTTATGTTCCTTTTATGACATTCGTTTATAAAATCTTGTAAGTATATTCATTTATTTTATTTAAAGGAAATGCTTCGATGTCGATTATTGTATTTATGACGAATCGGTCTTTCATAATTAAGGTCGATATATGGCTTCTGCTCCTGTTAGGATTAAATAAGACTACCGTAAGCTTAGGCCTACTCAGACTACTGTATATGTGATTAGTGGGACGGTATAATATGTTAAAGCCTATTCTAATATGTCTAAACGGCTAATTTTTATCAGATAGGAGAATGTGTCCCCGGGATTAAAAAATAGTAATGGAACCAAAAACGCTGCTATCCAAACTTTGCAGAATTAAAAAAACTAAACCAACATACTGACAGACGTTTTCAGACGAAACAACTGGTTTCTGGTCTGCTTCCTATTTAATGGTACCGTGAAAAAGAATTTTCAGTGTATGAATAACTATACAAATTTTAAAATCAGCATTGCAAGCATGATGGTTGAAAATGAGAAAAAGCTTAACCAGTAACATGTCTGAAGAATTCAATTTGTCTCTTCTTTCCAATTATGTATTGCTCTCTTTTATATGGTTTTCTATTGTCTTGTTTCCACAGGTAGACTTCCAAGTGTCAACCAGAGCAAAACATGGCAACAGTATGTTAAGACATTTATAGCATTATATCATTCATATTTTAATGGTTGGTTGTGTTTAGGCAAGAACATACTGAAATGAATTGTTGAAAAAAGTCAATATACTATTATGATTGATTTGATTTATTAAGTTTGGTTTTAAAAAATGATGTTTTTCTTTTCTTTTTATTTTTAACTTCCAATTCTTTTGGGGTAGAGGAGGGTGGCTAGGGATCAGAGCTAGGGTTTTGGAATGGCCCTAAGATTGTATAAGGTTCCAATACTATCAAATGTAAGTTTCGTTTTTTTTTTTTTATATAGAAGTTCCCTGTCATACCTGGCGTGCAGCTACTGGATTTTTCCAAGGTGGACAAGCAAAATGACAACATTAATGAATTCTTCACTAAAGCACAACTTTCCAATATGTCTGAATATGAGAAACTGCGATTTAGGAACATGAGAAAAAATTACGAAATGATGGCATCTCTAGGTATTCATTTTAGTCATTAGCTTCCTGCTGGTTGTAGTGTCTGCTATTTTTTTAAAGTTTGATATCAATAATAGATGAATGTTCCTGTAGTACACTCTTTCCATCAGCATCGGCACAAGCTAAGGATCATAGATGTACATATTTGTTTCATCACACTTTCAGTATTTGTCAGAGTGACACTTGACAGATGGAAAACTAGCTAGAAAAAATTTGAGGGAGTGCTTATTAGAAAAATTACAATACTGTATTTTAATTTTCTTTTAGCTTCAGTATATGCCAAACTTTCCAAACCTTTATGGGTGTTTTTTGTCGGAATATTTTATGGATAATTTATTTAAAGATAAAAACAGATGGGGATACATACAAATATGTTGAATTTGAGTTTTATTCTAATGTAATCTCTTTTGAATAAACTACATCCAAGACTGCTCCTTGTAAGCCCCAAGAGATACTATGTTATGTGTAATATTAATGAAATATTGAAAACAGAATACCTGAGCTGGTGACTGGGAAAGTATATGCCTGCTGTATCTGCCTGCATGATGTTCTAAGTGATGACTTATTGTTTAGCACCCCTTGCAGATCTGGGCTGGCTTTTTCTATGTCTGCTGTTTAGGGGACATTGAAGAGTCCATGTCAACTATGAAGGAGACACTGAATAGATGGAAAATTATTTGCTGTCACTATGGCAACACTTGGGATCATATTTTCATTCTTTCCAACCTTGCTCTTGCTTTGCTTTATTTTCCACTTTTAGCAACTTCCATCCTCATTTGACAACATTAAGATCCAAGGTCAAGGTAACTGCAAAAAATAAAAAAATCTGGGACCACCACTGAATAACATATATATAATCAGGTGTAGGTACAAATCACTTACGAAAATCATCCATAAAGGTCAATTTTAAGTTTCCACTTCAAACTTTTATGAAGGTTTACCAGCCATCAAACCAGATTTTATGAAAAAAGGTCGCACAAAAAGGCGAAGGAAGGACAACAGGTCTGATGACAGTGATGAAGAGTGGACTCCTGCTTCTGAAAGGAGGAAAAGTCAAAGAGGTAAATGTTATCTTTACAAATATTTTAGCTTGCGAAACGAACAGGGTTGTAAGATAACTTTTTTTGCCTCTGGCAACGAAACTGTTATGTAATATGTAATACACCTTCCATGTATAAACTGATACAATTGCTTAGTGTCGATAATATAAATGATCTTCGTAAACTAGATAGATATTTGAGGCCAATAACATACAACCATAATTGATCTGATAATTATCATAACTCATAACTATATTAACTAGTGTGTAAGTTATAAGAGTATGATGTATGTATATTGTAATAACTTTTTGTTACGTTGGTAGCACTGTATTTGTTGTTGTCGATATATACATTAGTTGACTATGATGATATATGCATGACTATTCTTGAATGCATATTATGTAATACCATTTGTAAAATTGTATGTTTTCAACAGGATGGTGATGAAATAAGCACAACCTTTGAATTTGTGATATGTTATATGACACTTGTAAAAGATTGTATGTATCCAATGAGTTGTAAAAACTTAGAGAATAAAATTGAATTGAATTTAATTGAATATTAAGAACATAATGACTTTGAAAGTGTTCATGCAACCAGATTAGGAGCATCTGCATGGATATTTGAAGACTTATACATATCCAAACTTAAAATGTATGCAAGTACCACAAGTACAAAACATGACTATTTCAAATCTAATAAATGTTGTACTGTTGTAAAAAATCAAGATATTTAGACATGAAATACAAAGTGATGGATAACATGGCAGTCGTGACTTTCATTATCTGTTTAATGAGAATATTTGTTTATGCAGTTGGTAAAGTTTATAATAGCAGACATATGGTACCAAAGATACAATAAAAAGATAAATTTCCTATCTACATGTGTGCTATCTGTTTTGAAATTGCAACATTGCATATGATTTTACTTGATGTGGATTGGAAATTAGGTAATACACATCAATGTGTATTAATCCCATTGAATACTTGCTTTAACATCAAGATAACCCTTCATTAGCTACCAGTTACATCCCACAAGATCCTTTGTTTTAGTTTTAAATTGTTTCATCTAAAAAATTGTAAGTATACTATATTTCAGATCGACTACCTGTCACACCATTCAGTTTTCCCCTCAAACAAGAAGCAGTTGTACCTAAGAAAACTTCAAAATTGAAGGTGAAATTTCTTACTGTTAATGACAAGTAAATCCTTAGCATTATTTCTTATAATCTACAAAGCTACACATAATAAGTATGTAAATCTCTGTATACATATGGACATGGAAAGGGCAAAGTGAATCATTGTAGAATACGAATGGGACTTAGTGCCCTTAACAAACATAGATTTTCTTATAATTTAACTGTAAATAAATTTTGTGACTTGTGTATACATTCTCCTGAAGACGAGAAACATTTCTTTTTATATTGCCCTATATATAACGGATCCCGTATTAAGATGTTGCGTCTGGTATGTAATGAAATTGCTCCAAATGTCAATCCGATTCTTGTTGTTGAGCTAATACCTGATGTTCTAGTAAATATATTACTACATGGATGTGAAACTTTAGACTGTCAATCAAACAAAGTTATATTTGATCAAGTTTTCGATTTCATAATCAATTCAAACCGATTCCAATCATCTCTCTCTCTCTCTCTCTCTCTCTCTCTCTCCCTCTCTCTCCCTCTCTCTCTCTCTCTCTCCCTCTCTCTCTGTCTGGTGTGCGAGCAGGTGTGTGCTGTGTGCGTGGATGAGTGTGCGAGTATCAATTTAATGAATGAAAGGAGTGAGTAAATGTAAGCAAGTTTTGTCAGTTTCGAATATGTTTTCTTGTATTGTACTATGTAATGTGTTTCATGTCGAGGAGAGCAACTAGTAGCCCCACGGCTGTTTGCAATCCTCTTTAAACAAATAAAGAATTAAAAATTAAAGTATGTTCTATTTCAGAAGGTGGAAAAGTTGACTAACACTGATCTAGAAAAACTTGAAATCAAAAAGAAAACAACACCCCAGACACCTGCCCATACATACCCATTGAGACCAGCTTCAGCAGCTGTTAGCTATATGAAGATTGAGGTCCCCGATGATGATGAATTTCTTTGTAGGTATTTGATTTATAACTAATGTTCAGTTGGTGACCATGATTTTACAGAAAAGAAAAGTCCTAAAATTCAAGGATTTGCCTTGAAATGTACTTGACTTTGGCATTTGAAGTTGCCTTTCATGAGTGATGCTTTGTCTTGTTGATCACTCCTTAATTATTGCTATCGCTATTTCTTGAGAAGTATGTGATGGGTCTCTCTCAATTTTGTGTATGTCTTGCTCACTTTCATTTTGAGACTGATCAGAAAAACAAAATGGCTAAAGGGAGGCCATCTTCAATTTTGACAATGAAAGTTGATTTAGGATATTTCTTGGAAGTGTTTGATGGCGCTGTCTTGCTCATCTTGCTCTCCGGTTGTGCATGTTAGATTTTGAGATTAATTATAAAAACAAATTGGACAACAGATCACCATCTTGAATTTTGACTGTTTAAAGTTTGTTTTATTTATCAGTGAGAAGAACTGGATGGTTCATTTTCAGAATTCATGTATGGGTCCTTCTTGGTGCCCAGTCATGTCTGTTTAGTTTTGGGAGGGACCAGAAAAACAAAATGGCAGACAGGGGCCATCTTGGATTTTGACAATTGAAGTTGGATTTTTTTTTTACTTCTTGAGAAGCACAATATGGATCTTGCTGAAAACACATTACGATGTTATCTCCTTTGTCCTAAGTTGTGCCCAATTAATTTTGATCAGAAGGTCAAAGAACAAAATAGTTTTTGAACAGATGGTTTGACTCTTAGAGTCAACATGGGATTGCATTTTTATGTCATGGATATTTTACATTGCAATACATATTCAGTAAAGTATGAGTTTTCTTATTTTTTCAACAATGATTTTCATGACGTGTTGCAACAACAAAATCTCTTAGTATAGAACAAAAGGCAACTATTAAGATCCTCGGGCCTGTTATATAGAAATGAATTCTGACTGTTGGTGATGGCCATTGGTTTCACTTTTATAATCAGTACTCCAAAACAAGATCAGTAGATGATTGATTATAGATAGTTTTCTAAGTTTAGTACATAATTGCACAGACCTCTGTAGAAAATAAATGCATGTGGAGAGTAGTATCATCAGTTGTAAAATCAGTCATTTTGAGTTTTTTTAACTGATAATTGATTGATCATTGACCAACATTACTTTCTATGAAAACCAGCAAGTCGAAAAGAAGCATTGAAAGGTATTAGCCGAAACAGAACATTATGAAAAAAAGCTGCAGCATTGCATGATAGAGCCCATAGGCATGCAGTGATTCATAAATGCAACTTTAAAACACAATAATCGATCTCGGTCTAATGACACACAATTTCAATATTGTAAATTTTAAAACAACACTTAGTAGTTATGCTAACTGATGCCAACTGGTGATCAATTATGAATTCTGATAAATTTTCCATCCAGACGACCCTTTTATCTTGGATTTGATGCCTGAAACTTATTGTCACTTTAGTATTTGTGAAAAAATACAGGATGGAAACAGGACGTTTCATGCAAGTTTCTTTTGTATAATGATTAACTTATTCACTTGTCAGTACCAGAAGTATGTTTACACCGAAATAGCTTAAAAGTAGATATAAGGGAAGCAATTCAACAAATTGTTTAACCTGGAATTGAAATCCAAGAATGATCCTACAATCATGTGAGAGTCATGATCCGTCTATGATATTATGTCTACAACATTATGATTTCTGTTATGCTGCCTTAAAAATAAACAATGAATAATGTCTGGATTGCAGAGTAAATATAGACATAAAAATTGTTTCCAGTTGTTGGTAGATGTGATGCCTTTGTTGTTAGCAAGCTTACCATTTTGTATACTTCAACAGATTGTGAAGAGTGCAACAAGGAATATGAAGGAGATTGCCCTGTACATGGACCACTAATTATCATTGAGGACACCAAGGTATTTGATGGTTATATGCTCATCTGGCCCAAAAGGTGAAGTGAGCATATGCTGTAGTCCATCACGTCAATTTTTTCTTTAAATGTCTGGAAAACCCTTCATATTTAATAGTTTACACAGGTTTCAGAGACAAAGTTTGACAAATTTTGCAAAACGAAAATACCTTGACTAATTTTCAAGGCTGTATCTAAAGGTAAATTTTGCTCAGATGCTCTGAAGACATCTGATTAATCAAAATTCTTCAACCCTTTAAAGCTTGTGTACTATGATGTTTCTGATAATTTCATTGATTCACTGAAAGATTAGATAGTTTGGTGAAAACTTGTTAAGCTTACATGAATATTGTTAAGTCAAATTTTGTCTCAATAAATTTGATTTAGACCCAATTTGAAGGACCATTGGACCTCCGGTAGAATATTTCTTTGTATCTGGAATGTGTGGTGTGTTGTTTGGATAAGAACAATGTGCATTCAAAATCACTCATTTTCAATCTTTTCTTTTTGTTAAAATGAATTACTATTGAATGTTTATAGTACAGTGGACTTTCAAATTCCCTTCAATGTGATCTTTCTTTGTGATATTAGAAAATGAATTTGAAATTTTGAATGACTATATCTGTATTCGATTTGCTTTTCGAAGTATAACCTGAGAGTTTTAAAATGCAGATGATTGACATAAAACCAAAGGAAAAAGAGCGATGCCTTTATACTTTGCCACCTGGCCTATCTGTGTTGGAATCATCTATACCAAATGCTGGTCTTGGTGTCTGGTCTGATCATGAGATTCTACCTCGAAGACGATTTGGTCCTTACAAGGGGAAACTAACAAAGGATTTAGACCAGGCTCATTCTACTGGATATGCCTGGCAGGTTAGTGTTAGATAACCTAATGATGCCCAAAAGGTAGGAAAAGGCCAAGTATGGTTGACTTCATTTAAAATTTGTCTGGATTTCTCCAGCAATTACAAACATGCATAATGATATGAGCATTGAGATCAAACATTTCCATATAAATACATAACTAGCCCTATGAACTTATGCCAGTCAACTTTTGACTTAAAATTGTTGCCTGTCATAAACGCCGGAACAGATTTTGACCAAATTTGGTCCTTGAGGGGGATTGGAACCAAGTTTTGATAAATATTGGCCAGAGATTGAGGGACAGGCCCAAAGGAGGAAATTTTGCAAGATCTTTAAAATCCTACCCCTTCTGTAGAAATGAATGGATGTTGCCCAATTTTGTCAGACGTATTCTTGGGTGAAGGGAAATCAAACTTGTATAAATGTTAAGTCTCTGCCCCCTGGGTTAAGAGGGGCAGGACCCAAAGGGGGTAATTTTGCAAGGGGGTCCTGGTGAGGGAGGGAGGGCAATATTGGAAATAGGGCAGTTCTTTAAAATCCTACTCCTCCTGTAAGAATTATTAAGTTTTGATCTGGTCTGAAGTATAAATGGTATGGCTGACCCTCTTAGGACAACCCGCTTAGTTTTAACGAAGCAATTTCATTCAAGCAAAACCAGGTGAGCAATACAGGCCCTATGGGCATCTTGTTTCAATTAACCTTGATTGATTCTTTTCAATCAATGCATAGATAACCAAAAATAGGTCTGAAGTTGTGAAGTTTAGAGTAGGGCAAAAGCCCTACTGTTGTCCTGAGGATAAATAATACCTCCTTCAGATGCAAACGTTTTTACATCAGTCGTTTTAGTTTCAGTCCCAGTAACCTCAACATCTTATCTATGACCTTAAATCTTTCTGAACCATTCATTCGAGGGATGGTTATGTGCAACAGACTGAGTAAAGATAATTAGAACTTAAGAAAGAGACATTGAGATTCAAATGAGTATCCTGTTTCAAGGTCAAGATCACAGGTTGTGTTACAGTGATTTTGTATAGAAAATTATCAACCAAGATTTCTTCATTTCTCACAGGATTTTATTATTCAATACTTTGAGAATACTTCAACAGAGTATAATAAGGTTACTTCTGAAAAAATATCCAAAAAAAACTACTACTTGTAGGAGCATCTTCCTCACACTTTCTTGTATTGTTTTTCCCCTAGATTTTCGAAAATGGAAAACCAAGCCATTTCATTGATGCCTTTGATAAAAATCATTCTAATTGGATGAGATATGTGAATTGTGCAAGAAGCGAAGATGAGCAGAACATGACAGCATACCAACACAAGGGTCAAATATATTACCGGACACACAAAATAATTAAACCTAGAAATGAGCTGTTAGTGTGGTACGGAGATGACTACAGTGATGAGCTTGGCATCAGGAGAGGAGCTGAAAACCCAAGTGAATGCAGACCATTCACTGTTAATGGAACAAGTAAGATTTATAGTAAAGGTAGCATTCAGACTAATCAAGATCAGAAGTTTATACTATTTATTGATTTATAGTAAAGGTAGCATTCAGACCAATTAAAATCAGAAGTTTATACTATTGTTTGGTACATTACTTAGAATCACAGAAGGTAAGTCAATGAAATTCTGTTGATGTGCAATGGTTTGGCCGTATGTCAAATGTCAATGTGGATAATGTTCATTTTGAAAGGTCACATTGTTTGAGGCTAACCACATTTTAACCAAAGGTTGATTAATTACATTTAATGTATCTATGAGAAAAAGTAAATGGTTTGTATGCAGATATGCACACTCCAGGTGTTTCAGTATTTCTAATGAAGATATGATATGATTGGGTGTATACAGGTACCATTCAGCTAGAGAGAACTTTTCTTTCTTTAGTTCTTTTATTAACATAACTAGTAAGCAAGAGATCCCATCTTCCATCCCTATTGGAAGCCTTGAAAATGTAGACATTGGTGATTTGGTAGAGACTTGGAAATATTACAGAGCATTTCCCTACAGGCATTTATGTAACCCCTGGAAACTTGAAGACAAGTTCTTCCCAGGAGGGTCAGTAATCCTGGTAATACTAGATGCAATAGAGAATGCAGTTCGGTAGAAATTCTCTTTAGGCTTACTATTAACATGCCAAAAATTCCTTATTTTGATCTTTGGGGAGCCAATTGGAATAAGCAAAAACTTCAAATCATGTTTGTATTTTTACAAATCCATACTTATCGAATAGTATATGATGCCCTATTTAGCCAATCAGTTTTAACACAAGAATATGACTTACTAAAACATCAAATTTTGTATCTGTACTAATGGAAAAAAAGGAAATGTGTATTTCAGCTGTTTAATTCCCACAAATTCATACACAAAGTAGTATATTAATAATAAGTTACAATTAACTTCAAAAACAAATATTTAGAGAGATCTTCGATTATTAACTAAAGGAGACAATCCCATTCAACAAAAATGGTCAGACACTCCATAATTTTTGGATTGAAATTTACTTTCTGAGTAGATATGAGTTTTACTTAACTTAATTTTGTAGTATCCTGATAGTTTAGTCATGAAAACAAGGAAAATGGCTTTAAAGGTTTATAAGAAGAATGTAGAAATGGCTTCATACCTAAGGAACAGTAATTGTCCTTACTGGGAAAATATTGGTTTTATACAATTTTATTATACCAATACATCATTCAATAGTTGCAAAATAATTTATTTATACCACTTCTTAATGCGTTACCCTTGAAATACCCTTTACCAAGTGTAAAAATTGATTTCTGTTTGGGACTGAGTAGCATTGAACTTGCAAAAATGTGATTGATACATGAGTAAGATTAAGCATGTTTATTGTTGATAGTTTTACAGCTCAGTTACATTTAGATATTATGAAAAACAAACTGTAATTTAACAATGAGATTGCTTGTATTGAGGAGATCAGTTAAATGTGCTTCTTTTTCTTCCAGAAATGTTCAGGTGTCCATTTTGTGGAAGATGCTTCAGCTCTGAAATTAACATACTTGGACACAGCAAATCAAAGCATGGAGTCTCTCAGTTTACTATTGACCTTGCAAGGAAAATGCTGAAGGAGAGAAGAATTTATAGTGAAAATGTATTAAGAGGGCATTTGAAGAGCAACTCTGTGCCAAAGAAAAAGATTAAAACAGGAAGAAACCTTGAACCATTTGATATTCAAATGACAGGAAGTTTAGATAATAATGAAAGGCTAGATAGGAAAACTATTGTTTCTACGAATAGAAAGAATATCTCAAAAACTGGGGAAACAGGTCACCTACAGACACACCTCAGGATACACACAGGAGAGAAACCATACAAATGTGATGTCTGTGGTAAGGGGTTTAATCAGGCATGTAACCTACAGACACACCTCAGGACACACACAGGAGAGAAACCATACAAATGTGATGTCTGTGGTAAGGGGTTTAATCAGACATGTCACCTACAGACACACCTCAGGATACACACAGGAGAGAAACCATACAAATGTGATGTCTGTGGTAAGGGGTTTAATCAGACAGGTCCCCTACAGACACACCTCAGGATACACACAGGAGAGAAACCATACAAATGTGATGTCTGTGGTAAGGGGTTTAATCAGACAGGTCCCCTACAGAAACACCTCAGGATACACACAGGAGAGAAACCATACAAATGTGATGTCTGTGGTAAGGGGTTTAATCAGACATGTAACCTACAGACACACCTCAGGATACACACAGGAGAGAAACCATACAAATGTGATGTCTGTGGTAAGGGGTTTAGTGAGTCCGGTAACCTACAGACACACCTCAGGATACACACAGGAGAGAAACCATACAAATGTGATGTCTGTGGTAAGGGGTTTATTCAGACATGTGATCTACAGAAACACCTCAGGATACACACAGGAGAGAAACCATACAAATGTGATGTCTGTGGTAAGGGGTTTAATCAGACAGGTCACCTACAGAAACACCTCAGGACACACACAGGAGAGAAACCATACAAATGTGATGTCTGTGGTAAGGGGTTTAGTGAGTCCGGTACCCTACAGACACACCTCAGGACACACACAGGAGAGAAACCATACAAATGTGATGTCTGTGGTAAGGGGTTTAGTGAGTCCGGTACCCTACAGAAACACCTCAGGATACACACAGGAGAGAAACCATACAAATGTGATGTCTGTGGTAAGGGGTTTAATCAGACAGGTCCCCTACAGACACACCTCAGGACACACACAGGAGAGAAACCATACAAATGTGATGTCTGTGGTAAGGGGTTTAATCAGACATGTGATCTACAGAAACACCTCAGGATACACACAGGAGAGAAACCATACAAATGTGATGTCTGTGGTAAGGGGTTTAATCAGACATGTAACCTACAGACACACCTCAGGATACACACAGGAGAGAAACCATACAAATGTGATGTCTGTGGTAAGGGGTTTAAAGTTTTGTGCAGCTTGAAAATGCACCAAAAACATCATAGCTAAGTCTTCCATTATATTTATTTTAAAAGTTTTAAGTATATTGTATATAGCTAAATAATATATATTGTATTAATATTTGCATGAATTGTGTAATTACTAAATAATTTATTATTTATCCAGTAGTTGAGGTATCTATACATTTACATATAAATAATTTATATTGTTTTATCTGACAGTTAATGTATCTGTACATATTTGTATGTATGAATTTCAACTGAGGACAAAGTCTTCAAGGCACTCAACAAATTGTTCATTGCTGTGATAATAAACATCGAAATTTACACTCTAGTTTGCTCTGTAAAAATAAATTGTCAGTTGCAGTAGCTTGGCAGCCCAAAACTATATATGCTAAACATGTGATTGTGCTTCATGAGCCATCCTCAACCCAGCCCTGGATTACCATCTAGCCAATACTTCTACACTAACATATGATATTGGCTGTTGCAAGGATATCAAATGTAAATAATTCACAATAATCAGTTCAACTTTTGTCTTGTAATCATTAAATCAAGACCGTAAAATATCACTTAATTTGAAAATAATTTGAACAATCAATCGCTACAGGTGTTGTATGTTGGATATATATGTTATTTCATGTAAAGAATGATTACATTTTCAACGCAAATGACTACACTACAACTGTATTAATCCTAATACACGTTTCTGGTATAGCTCGAGAAATAATGGGTTGAGAGCCCGTCACAATGTCTATTTGAGGCAGAGACATCGTACACTTTTATTCCTGCACTATCACATTGTTATTTTGAGGCAGTGGCTGGTAGCTACCTCTTGACCATTTAAATCGGAGGCCCGTCGAATGCCTTTCAGAGCAGTTAGTGTCTTTCCGAAGGACATCATACCTGGAGCGGATTTCGTGTTAAAGAGTGCATATTTTTATCAACTGTTTTTAGTACTGCGTCCTGCAACCCAATTTCCCAGGTTTTCAGTTTCCTTTTTATTTCTGTTATCTTCGCGCATATAATTTCATGGTCGTGCTAACTTCGAGTTAAACGAACAATCACAGATTGCATTTTACAAACGGCGACCGACCAATCCTGAAAAACAAAGCAACTTTAAAATACTTGTATGAAGTTACCTGTAGGTTAAAAAACTAACGGAACTATGATGCATATTAAATAACACGGTAACCCTCCCCTCGGGATCGGTACTCGACGGCAATGATTGAACACTAAGAAAACAGATGATGGCGATAAGTACAGTAATTATTTAGGTAACAAAAGTAATGATTTTATCCACAGGGACTTGGCTTGAATCCACGGTCCATATTTTTGTATTAATATAGTGACAAGGGTGTAATGATTTTATCCACAGGGACTTGTCTTGAATCCACGGTCCATATTTTTGTATTAATATAGTGACAAGGGTGTAATGATTTTATCCACAGGGACTTGGCACAAATAAACGGTCCATATTTTTGTATTAATATGGTAACAAGGGTTTAACGTCTAAGAAGGTAAGACGGAATATATTTTTAAAAATTGTTTTCTATAATCGAATGACCCTAGATCCCAGTAACGCGCACCTTACTTTTAAAAAATATTTTATCTTTTCATTGAGTTGAAAAACGAGATTTGCCAAGTATTGATCAAGTTATGACCTGACCAATTCGGAAGTAGACTAGTCCCTGTCCAGATGACTATTATCAAGTCATCTGTCTGGAATAATCATGTTTTGCCAAGAAATAAAACGTTATTACTTTTTATCAGCGGTGATATTACAAATCTTAAAATTTTCAACGAGTCCTCGCCCCAGTAACTTTCAGGGATGGTGTCGAAATGCCTTGGATTTCAGAAATCTTCTCCAGACCAGACATGATGTAGCAAAGGATAATTTTTCTGTTGTCATTGAAAGCTATTTAACTTTGTAAAGAGTTGTATTATGGTATACACATATTGACCCTGGCTAGCCTCCAGGGGTCTGAGGGGTGGTGCCAAAAAGGATCTAATTGACTGAAATATCAGAAATCTTCTGAAGACCGATATAGTAGAATCAAATTGTTCATAATGGAAGGATCTTCTGTAAAATCTCGCCTTTCTCCAGAGAAGGAGATAAAAGTTAACTATAATTTTGTACATGTCGACTGTTCTTACAAACGTTGGCAACGAAAATGCTGTGGATTGGTAGGTGTTTCAAGCTTCAAATATTTACACCAATATTTTCATTGACTGAAAATATAAACAATTTAATGATATTGTGATTTGAATTCCAAGGGATTTTGATCAGACTTCAAACAGGTAATCGAAAGCAATACAAGGACTTAAGATTAAATATAGGATCATATCCTTTATGATTACTGAGGGGAACGATGTAGTATCCGACCAGGAGCAAAATGTGAATTATGGTTTGTAAAGAAAGCCGAAGTAGAAGAAAATTGCCCACCATCATCAGACTTCAAATCGCCATGTGAAGTCCGCAATCCGTTCTTCCTAAACCATTCTTGTTGCTAGTTCTAAAGAAAGAACTACTTGGTGGATCTTTCTCAATTTTTTTAATGAAATGTTTTAAATCAATAAAAGGTTTTACGCCGAAACACACGCTGCATTTCTATTTGAAGTAAACGAAAGAAAAAAAAATTTTTTTTTCAAACATACTCGAGTATAACGCTTTTAGGGGTGAGGTCGGGCAAATTTCCAGCTTTGAGCATGTTCGTTCGGTCATGTGTACAAGCTGTAACCAACAAACTGATTGGGTTATGTATATTCCACTTATTACCCGATGAACTGGTTTACTCTTGGATACAGAATGTATACAAGGTCAAAAATTAAATAAAGAAAACAAAAAACAATATTCCGGAAAACTTTGTTGTATAAAACTATTTTTTTAGATCGCTTGGTTTTAATATAGAAATCAACAGTAAGTTAAGTTAGAGTATTATATTGTTCAAAGAACAAGTTCACTAAAACATTGACTTTAATGAAAACCAGGCTACCAGATTTCGCCGACACTGAGTGACTTTCATGTACCATGCACAATTATCAGTAGCAAAACCTATATTCATATACAAAGTATTCAGTTTTCGAGTATATTTTAGGTCACCTGAGACAACGTATGAACTTTGCAGATACCTTTAATAGCCAAAGCTGAACAAACATTGAGAATAGCATGATCACATTCTGTGAACATGAGGGATGGAGTCAATTTAACATAAAAAAAAAAACAAAATTTTAATAAAATCTTTATCTCAATACTCAGATAGGTTATGGTCACGGACTAAAATCATCATTTCATGATCCAAGATCTCGAATTTTCACCTAACCTTATAGTTTGTGTAGACCTGGAAACTATATGTAAGACATGTAACGAATATGTCCATTGTGACCGTCGACTCTTGAACGATGACGTAGTTTGATTTAGTGTAGGAAATATTGTTTTCGAACGGAACTAGAAAACATTTTGTTCAGTTTCAGAATTAACATGGGACAGTAGTTTCTTATGCACTTTTATCTCGTTACTAACCCGAGGGGCGGAACAAATTAGCTGAAAGTTGACAGCTTTTCCTTGGTTACATGAATGCTGGAATCTAAAATCTTCTTAATCATCTTACAAATGTTACATCTGAATCAAAAGATTTGTGTCACTGCTTAAATATTTATTAAGCACTTTTATTTGCATCTTTAACATAATATAGTTAAATCTATCTAGCTTCGTTTAAGATAATTTGTATTACGTGCTACAATAAGAAAAATGTTGTTTTTGAAAGACCGTTAAGGCGTGGCACTTTTTTAGCCCACCATCTATTCAAGTAGATGGTGGGTTATTCAAATCGCCCTACGTCCGTGGTCCGTCGTCCGTCCGTAAACAATTCTTGTTACCGCTATTTCTGGAAAAGTACTGGATGGATCTTTCTCAAATTTCATATGCAGGTTCCCCTTGGTCCCTAGTTGTGCATTGTACCATTTTTTGACTGATTCGCATTCAAGATGGCCGACAGGTGGCCATCTTTGATTTTGGAAGTAAAAGTGTGTTACCGCTATTTCTGGAAAAGTACTGGATGGATCTTTCTCAAATTTCATATGCAGGTTCCCGTTGGTCCCTAGTTGTGCATTGTACCTTTTTTGGACTGATTTAAATTCAAGATGGCCGACAGGTCACCATCTTGCATTTTAGAAGTAAAAGTTTGTTACCGCTATTTCTGGACAAGTACTGGATGGATCTTTCTCAAATTTCATATGCAGTTTCCCCTTGGTCCCTAGTTTGTGCATTGTACCTTTTTTTGACTGATTCGAATTCAAGATGGCCGACAGGTGGCCATCTTGGATTTTGGAAGTAAAAGTTTGTTACCGCTATTTCTGAGAAAGTACTGGATGGATCTTCCTCAAATTTCATATGCAGTTTCCCCTTAGTCCCTAGTTGTGCATTGTACTTTTTTTTGACTGATTCGAATTCAAGATGGCGGACAGGTGGCCATCTTGGATTTTGGATGTAAAAGTTTGTTACCGCTATTTCTTGGAAAGTACTGGATGGATCTTTCTCAAATTTCACATGCAGTTTCCCCTTGGTCCCTAGTTGTGCATTGTACCTTTTTTGGACTGATTCGAATTCAAGATGGCAGACAGGCAGCCATCTTGGATTTTGAATGTAAAAGTTTGTTACTGCTATTTCTTGGAAAGTACTGGATGGATCTTTCTCAAATTTCATATGCAGGTTCCCTTTGGTTCCAAGTTGTGCATTATACCTTTTTGGACTGATCCGACAGGCAGTCATCTTTGATTTTGAGAGAGTAAAATGTTGTTACTGCTATATCTGAGGAAGTACTGGATGGATCCTTCTGATATTTCATAGATATTGGTTTCCCTTGGTCCCTAGTTGTGCATTGTACCTTTTTTGGACTGTTTTGAAATCAAGGTGGCCCACAGGCAGCCATCTTGGATGTTGACAGTAATACAGCACAAGCATATTGTCCATTATCCACCTGTAACTGACTGCTATCTAATAATACTTTGGGATCTTTTTCAAATGATATTTGCTAATAGGTACTTAATAAAAATATCTTGTGCCATCATTGAGTACATTCAATGAAGACCAGTTCATGAACATTTACAACACCTGTAACACACACAAAAAAATAAACAAATCATCAAGAACTGAAAACAGATCCTCAAATGGTGGGCGCCAAGATCCCTCTGGGATCTCTTGTTTTTTCTTTTTTTTTTTTTTTATTTCACACCCCAATCGCAAAGATTTTTATTTGTTGGCTATCAAAATTAATCGAAAGTTAAACTTGTATGTTTCAATATGCTGTACATAGGTGTCGAGAAGGTCAGACGTGTTTCCTTTGCTCAGCAAATTGTTATAATAACTGTGGTAATAAGCAAGGGATATGCATGATATTCGATATGGTGATGATTGAAGGACTATCTACATGTTTATATATTCATATCTTGTGGAAAATATGTAAAAAAATGACGTTTGGAAGGAAATGGGAAACAAAGGTAATTACCTGGGATACTGACAAGTACTCATACCTACTTACCTGAAAACTTACCTGTGTAGTGAATGGTGAACATGTAATAACGTATACCAGACTATATACACTCTGCAGTGATGTGTTGAAATATAAAATTAGAGTTGATTCTCTACTACAACTGTAATCACTGTGCATATTCACCAAAATAATTACATTATTCACCAATATATCGGATACACCAGCAACGGAAAAATCAGTGCAACAAGTTTAAGACTGGATATCATAGAAAAGCATGTGGTAAGAGATAAACTCTATGTGAATGGAGAACTTTACAAACATAATGATAAAAGAAGACAGCAAATGCGAAAAAGAACATACGGTGAAGCGGCTAAAACGCCAGCCGCAAATATGTCAGCAAACAGTCGGAGAGGAGGGAAAAGAACGCGTACCCCTTCCACGCCCACAGGACTAGACCAGCCCAACACAACGCTTGCCCCAGCGTCATCCAGACCCCGGTATGATAAACCGAGTTACTACCCGGTACATACTTACCAAAAAACTTCAGCCATGCATCATACACCTGAGGACGGTACAGGTCATGGTGACGACCACAATGTCACCCAGTTTACAATATTTGCTGATAATGGTCCTATATCCAAATGGTTGAGCATTCCTCCTAGTACTCCTGGCCATGGTGGCGAGGCCACGCCAGTTGAGGAAAAGAGGAATTATGGGCTTTGCCCAAAAGTGTTGTGTGCCCCTCCTAGTACTCCTGGTTGTGGTGGCGAGGCCACGCCAGTTGAGGAAAGGAGGGAGGCCGGATCTAGCCCATGTTTGTCGTCTGCCCCTCATAGTACTCGCCCAAGCTTGTTGTGGGCCCCTCCTAGTACTCCTGGTTGTGGTGGCGAGGCCACGCCAGTTGAGGAAAGGAGGGAGGCTGGTTCTAGCCCAAGTTTGTAGTGTGACCCTCCTACTACTTCTGGTTATGGTGGTGATGCCATGCCAGCTGAAGGAAATAGGGAGGCTGGGTCTAACCCGGGTCAATCTGTTTCAGATCACCTTGCTAGTGTAAGGGAAGTTATGGTGATAGATGACGTCCTCATCCCGGGCAAGGACCAGCCTACAGAGGCTCAGCAGTCTGCATAGGACAGACAGGAGAGTGGGGCATATAGTATTATGTCATGGAATGTTTGTAGAAATCTTAGTGTGAAGTTGCAAGATCATGATTTTTTAAATATTATAACAAATCATGACACTATTTGTCTGTACGAATGCTGGGTAAATCAAGATGATGATATTACGATTAATGGTTATGATACGCATATGTTTCCTGGAGTAAATGGTAAGGGAGGTGGAATTGTATTATATATTAAAAAGTTAATCAGTAATAGTTGTACAGTTGAAGAAAATATCTTAGACTGTATTGTTATATTAAGATTAAAAGATGTTAAAAATGCAGTAGAGTATAATGGCGATATATTCATATTCGCATGTTATTTTCTTCCGATAAACTACTTTTTATGAAAAGCATGATATTGACCTATTCGTTACATTAGAAGAATGTGTGTCAAGATACAATAGTTTAGGTAGAATTATAGTAACAGGTGATTTTAATAGCAGGACTGGTGAGACAGAAGATTTTATATCATTGGATGTAATTGGAAATTTTCCAGGGCATGTTTTATCATATATTTTTAATTATATACCAGATGATGATATGCCAAAAAGATGTAATACAGATAAATATATTAATCAGTTTGGAAGAGAACTTCTGGAAGTTTGCAAAACAGCTGGGTTGCGAATTGTGAATGGCAGGCATCATGATGATGTTAAGGGTGAAATTTCATTCTATAATAGGATTGGTTCTAGCTTGATTGATTATGTACTAGTTAATGATACAAAGTTTGATTTAATTCAGTCTTTTAAAACTGGTGAATTCAATCCATTCTCTGATCATGCACCTTTGACGTTTACGATAGAAAAAAAATCAGAGGACGGCTAATAAGTATGCGCAAAGTGAGTTAAATAGTGCTAATATTTATACAAGTAGCAAATGGAATGAGGAAAATACACATATTATTTGTGGTTTGCTATATAAAAATATTGATGCCCTAATGAAAACTTGTAATGTCACACAATACGATCAAGATGGAATTAATACGTGCGTGAGTAATTTTACTAGTTTACTTAATGAATTGATAGACCCGTACTGTACACATATTGTGATAAAAAGTTACACAGACAGTGGGCGAATATCTACAAGGGGAGATAAGCCATGGTTTACCGACCTCTGTGAGCAGCGGTACATTCAATACGTGCAAATCTAATCACAACAGAGACTACCTTGCAAGTAAACAATCTGCATATAAGAAATTAGAATGTAAGTTAAAAAAGAGATACAGATGTTATCAAGGAGATATGCTGAATTATTTGCGTAAATACAATCCACGTGCATTTTACAAAACATTCCGAAAATATAAAAACAATATTAACACCGATCTAAGTGTAACAGATTTTTATCAACATTTTTCTATGCTAAATACAGGCGTGCCCAACACTGATAAAGACATTTATGATTTTTTGTTTGATTGTGATGTTAATTTTGATTCTCCTATATTCAAGGAACTTGACGTTGATATAAAACAGTCTGAAATACGTGAGGCTATTGGAAACCTTAGTTACAATAAAGCTTGTGGTCAGGATGGTATACTCAACGAATATTTTATACACTGTACAGATATTTTAATGCCATGTCTTTTAGCCTTATTCAATCATATCTTCAGGTCGGGTTATTTCCCATCCTCATGGTCCATAGGTAACATTGTACCTGTACACAAGAAAGGTGACATTAATAATACAGATAATTATCGGGGTATTACGTCGCTTAGTTCTTTAGGTAAACTTTTTACAGCCGTTATTAATAACAGACTGGTAACATTTGAAATGAAGTACAATAAGATTACAGATGCGCAATTTGTATTTAGAAAAAACTTTTCAACAGTTGACGCCATATTTGCCTTACAAACATTAATTAATCGTACATTAAAAAACAGAAAACGTCTCTATTGTTGCTTTGTGGATTACACCAAAGCATTTGATTTTGTAAATAGACAAAACTTATGGTATAAAATGATCAGAGAAGGGGTTGGTGGAAATATGTTAAAAATTATAAGATCGTTGTATAAAGATGTTAAATGTTGTATAAAATATAATGGTACTCTATCTGATTATTTCGACTATGAAAACGGATTATTTCAGGGGGAAATATTATCACCTCTGTTGTTCTCCATGCATGTGAACGATTGCGAAATGCAATTTTTATCTGACAATTGTCCATCCATAGAAATACAAGAGATTAACATGTTTGTACTAATGTATGCCGATGATATGGTTGTCATTGCTGAAACACCAGATGGATTGCAAAAAATGTTGAACTCCCTAGCGAAATATACAGAAAAGTGGAATCTGACTGTAAATACAGCGAAAACAAAAATTGTTGTATTCCGTAATGGGGGGAAATTAAAAGAGAATGAACAATGGTATTATAAGGAGAACAGATTAGAAGTATTGGATAAATTCTGTTATTTAGGAGTGCTGCTTAATTTTAATGGTAAATTCAGACAAACACAAAAGCATATTGCTGACCAAGGGAGAAAAGCATTATTTGCAATCTTGAATATCTGCAAAAGTAATTTTTTCAATATAGAAACGCAGTTAGCGATGTTTGACACATATGTAAATAGTGTACTTAGTTATGGGGCGGGAGTGTGGGGCTTCCATACGGCGCCCGAAATTGAAAAAATACATGTGAAGTTCTGTAAACGTATTCTAGGTTTACATAATAAGACTATTAATGATATGGTGTATTATGAATTGGGCAGATACCCTATGACTATAGTCCGTAAGTTCCGTATTTTCAATTACTGGATAAAATTAAGAAATTCTGAAAACTGCATTCTTAAATCATGCTATGCTGAGATGCTCGGCTACAATGACAATTGGTTACAGAGTGTTAAACAGGAATTATATAGAATAGGTCTTGGATACGTGTGGGAAAACCCAGTTGAAATTAATCACACATTTCGTATAATAAAGGAACGGATTTGTGATATTTACAAACAAGAATGTTTTAGAAAGATCGCATCATCCTCAAAGGGTGAACTGTACCAATACATTTGTAATTTTGGACATCAATCTTATTTAACTAAAGCCATTAATTTTAATTATGTAAAGCAAATATGTAAAATTAGACTATCTGCTCATACGCTTAATATAGAATGTGGCCGATATAACAATATAGATCGAAGAAACAGATGATGTAATTCATGCGATATGCATGACCTGGAAGACGTATTTCATTTTATTCTGAAGTGTCCACGCTATGCCGAAATTAGATGTAAATTTATAAAAAAAACTATTATATAAGACATCCCAGTATGTTTAAATTAATAGAGTTGCTAAACAGTAATAAAATCGCGGAAATAAGAAATTTAGTTAAATATTTAGTGCATGCGAACAAAATGAGATCACAATTGCTTATAAATTAGTTCTTCACTCTCCACTATAGTACGTACATTTTGTACACTGTAATTTTATATAGTACACCGCATAAGTGCATGATTGTGAATTGAACTGTATATGGATATTTGTTGTAACTGATAAGTCAGAAAGACTTAAGGTAATAAAAATTTGAAACTTGAGTTACCTGTAAACGCCTTTTAGCTCACCTGGCCTGAAGGTCCAAGTGAGCTATAGGGATACCAAAGTCCATTGTCCGTCCATCAATGATTTTCTACGCTTGTCATGAACGACTGAGGGGATTTTGACCAAAAATGGTCATATGAATCCTTGGGAGAAGTTCAACATTTATCTTATAAATGATGCGTTCTGGCCTCGCGGAACCCAAAAGAGTTTTGCAAGCTCTTTAAAATCCTACCTCTGTATGAATGATTGGATTTTGTCTAAATGTGGTCCGAATCATGTTTGGGTTTGGATATTGGTGAATTAATTTTGTATAAACGGGGCGTCCCGGTCATCTCAGGCGGGAGCGGGGAAGGGCCCAATAGAGGAGATGGAGCACATTCTTTAAAATCCTATTTTTCTTGTAAGAATTAATGAGTTTTGCCCAATTTTGATCTGAAGAAAGGGTGGAGGAGAATCAAATGTATATAAATGGTAGGCATTGGTACCGTAGGGCAGGTTGGGGTTGGGAGGTGCTCAATAGGGGAAATGGGTAATATTTTTAAACAGTTGAGATTCTCATCCTATAAGCATATTTAGCATTGCATTAGCATAAAGGGGTAAACACAATCATAATGTGATAATTAGCCCTGGTGTCTGGAACCATCCCCAGGGACTTATTTCCCTTCTTATATCTTTGAAACAGTTGAGATCACCATCCCTTGGCTGTGTTACACCCTTTGGGACTTTATTTATGGATCATAACATTGGGGTCCCAACCCCATAAATATATTAACTCTTACTAGGCATAAGAAGAAAATGACATTGGAAGATTTTAGCCGTTGGTCTTGCCCTACCAAAGAGGTTAAGTGATTGGGCTGAAATACCCAACCAATAGGCATGTAAATGTAAGAATGTTTTTTTAAAATAAATAATAAATTACAAACCCGAAATGATAGCATTTTATCTATATTATTTTATTTTTTCATTCATTTTTTACTTAAATTTTACCTCTGGAGGTAATTATTTTTAAAAATTACCTTCCTTGTATTTTCTAGCTGGACTTAGAACGAATTCCTAGTCCACGCTCCATATATAGGTAACATACTAACAAATACATGTATATTAACATGTCGGCCGTTGGTAAGGAATTCGCGCCAAGTCCTTCTGGTACTTTCCTTGTCTCTGCAGCAACACATGATTTTTTTTTCTGTCTTGGTCAAACTACCAGCGGTTTTTCTTTCATGTATTTACCAAAACTGCACATGTGATTAAATATGAACTTTCAATAGAAATTTAGAAATGGACACAATAGGGCCAAACAGTGAAGTAAACTGCATCATACGTTATACAGTTGTTTCACGTTTCCATGACTCGGCAATGACGCTAAGGGCTTCAATTTGGAACCTAGGAAGTGACATAGGATGACCGATATTGGTCGAAAGAATGTCAAAATTTAGATGGGGAGGTGCACTATTTGATTAAATTTGATAAATTTCGTAATCTGCAAACATTCAATTATTTCTAAAGAAAGTCCAGATCATATATTCTAAACCGTACCACTATTCGTATGAATTTATACATAACATACAAGTTACGCCAAATCCGGGGACCAACAGTCCACCAACAGTGCTACCCCCTGGATCTTTGTTAAAATCAAGAAATGTCAAACTTTCGGGTAGTGGAACAGAGGTTGCCGGAGAAGGCAACAGTAAAAGATCTTCGTTGATATCTCTCAGGCGATGGAGTCTGTTTCTTCCTTCTCTAGAGTCTTCCTTAAACTTTGTTTTATTGTGGGTCTTTCCTTACGCCTTGATTTTGCCGTGCTCTGTCCCACTATTCCAACTGGTTTTTTCTCCAAGTCAAATGCAATATATAATTTTAAGGCTTGCGTCTTTATCTTTCCAATATAACCTCAAATTCGTCTTCACAAACCTTCCCGTCCTTCTTATCACTTCTGGACCAGTTAACCCTTGCTTTTCGTGGTGTAATAACTTATGATCGTGGTTTGATTCCCGCTGTATAGATGATTGATGTGGAAACCCACTCATAATTACCTTTAATTTGGATAACCAATGAAGGTTCATTTTCAGCGGAGTCGCTAACTGGGTTTCACTTTGAGAACAGAGACGTTAGGCTTTAGCGATGGTAGACATAACGGAGAAAAAAAATATAAATTGATATTATCTGCTTGCTTAAACGGTTCCAATAAAAAAATTATTAGTATATTTAAAAATACAAATGTTTGTATCAAGTTGAATTCTTCAAAAATTGGGAATGGTGTTCTTTATCAGGAATTGTGAATTTCCGGTACTGCCAGTAGACCGGGTATTAGTGTTAGAAAGTCCACCAGTATCGCCAGTCAATCTTTCTTTGATAGATGTACACGTAATTGTACGTAAACGTGATACATATACCTCTTTTCGTCTAGTCATATCAATGACAAGTGATAGTAAACATGATGATACTGTTGGCTTTATTGAACAAAAATTTCGTTGTCAGTGTAGTTGTACGTACATCCGGTCCACATTGCAGGATTCGTAAAAGGCGAAAAACATGAGGATTAGTAATTAACATCCTGTTCCCAAACCATACTGAGATATAACGTAAATAACGGACAAAAAAGAAAGAATGAAGGAAAGAAAAATACTAAAGTTGCTACCTACTCCTTGAGGCGGATTCGAATCAGGGTTATCATTGCAAGGAGAGGCTAAATGACAACTCCAGAGGTATTCCGAAAGTTTCCTGTGAGTGGATTTACTTCCGTTTTAGACCAGGACTGATTGCGAAAATGGTGGGTGGTTTCTGATATATTATGAATCCTTTAACACTGTTATTCATTCTTTCAGCTATCTGTAATTACACTTACAAATGCTTTCATCACTATACAATTGACTCGTATTCGTCTCAGCGTTATAGAAGTGAAATTATTTGGTAGGTTACCATTGCTATATATACGGAAGTACACAAACGTTAGTATGTGTTCCTGACTGACTCACTAGTCGCATCTTCAATACAGCATAAAATAGGGTGATACTCTTACACAAAGGCATTCTATAACACATAGGAGTGAACCCTCTGTAGTGACACTATAACACATAGGAGTGAACCCTCTGTAGTGACATTGGCAATGGAAATAAGTAGAAATCATGAATAAGTGAATCACTCAATAAATTCACATATTTCATTAAGACACGTTGTGCTTGGTACTGTTGAGAGAGATATACCATTTGGCAAACAGGAACATCATCATAGATCCCAGTTGTAAGTGGAGTTCACCGGGGAAATGTGTTTGGACCAGTACTAGTCTTTCCTGGTTGATATCAATAACATGTCCGAGATTACATCTACCTTCATGCTGTATGTTTGAGCTAGTTCCACTGAAGAAACAGACCAATTGGAATTAATTTAGATTTGTTAAATGGTCTGATAATTGGCATATTATATTGAAAACAACATATGTTTATTTAAAAAGTTTTTAGTTTTAAAAGTTTTTCTTATTTTTCTTTTTTTGTTTTTGTTTTTTGTTTTTTTTTTGTGTTTGTCAAAAAAAAAGTGACTCCAAAAGCTAAGAAGTTATTGAAATTCTTCAAAACCTGAAAGATGTTTGAACAAAAGTTGTTGAAAAGAGATATGAAAATCAATGAAGTATATTGAAAAACATTATTTTGGGGTTTTATATGGTTGCTCAATAGTGCTGGGAGTTCTGTTAAAATCCATCAATAATTATCAGTTAAAATTGTATAGACTTTTTGATGTAGCTAATTGATTACATAATCAGCTATGTTCAATATTCATAGGAAGAGAATGTGTTTTACGGTAACATTTTCTTTTTTTTTTAACCTAAAACACCCCACTTTCCTAGAATTTTCATATTAGTGAACATTATTTCCAAATAACATCTTTCATTAAATGTATAGATATGAATTTTTGTTTGTTTGCTAAAACACAAATATTTAAGGTACCATTCATTGATTATGAAAAATTACAACTGATCATCACATCAGATGAGGTTAAACGCTTAGATAATTAATTACATCCAATCATTTTCCCATCACTAGGGTGCACTTTAATTTTTCATAACATTCAACTGTTAAACACAAACAAGTCTCACAAATGGGTGATGAGCAGTCTGCTATTGGCTTCAAACAGAGAGACAACATTGAGTCTTTTTTTAAATTTTTCTCCACTGATGTTGAAGGCATGTAATTTATATTTAATCTTTGATAAGATTGTAAACATATCTACTTCAGTACTGCTCTCAATAAATGACTGGGTGGTCAAGTGGATTAGGGAAACATGCATCTTTCACTTAAATATCTGGTGTGGATGTGAAGTAGTAAGGGGTCACTGGATGTGCCCTTGTGTGTTTCTATCTCGGCCAAAAGAGGGACTGTTCTTAATTGGAACAACTTGCTTCACAGTTACAAGTGATTAACGGGACTCACAAATATTTGAGTTCCGAACTCATACTTTTTCCTGTGGGACCCCACTATGTCTATTAGTATGTATTGGGAATCATCAAAATTTTGGAAATTCTGTTCCAGACTGACCTGAAAAAATCCTACAAAAAATACTGAGTTGTAAAATAAAGTTTAAGGTAATGGGCAATGTTCATGGAAAAAAATGACAAATAAACTTTAACCTTTATGATTGAGCAAAAGACAGGCCACGCAATGATAATTATAATCCATGTGCTGTGCACATCTTTACGTCTTCCTTCACGGATAGCACACTCTCTCAGTTATCTCCCTTGTGAACGAAACACACTACCATAATATATATATATATACAAATATATATTACCCTAGGCAGTTGAGTGTGACGAATATGTGTTGAGATCTTAATTGCCTTTGTTATAAAGAACTGCTTTGTCAGAATTTTATGATTTCATACTGTTTTATTTTCTAGAAAATTTGTGCTTAATTTACAATAATAACAACACATTTATGTGCCTTTTATTCTTAGCAGATACATATCATGATAATATTGTGACTTTGTTTCTAAAACTTAATGGTACGGTTTCTGCCATTTGATCATGCAAGTTACATATTTTGCAGTCGGCGACACTCAAACCCTACCTGAATACTGTTCGGCACACCCTCAGAAGTGCCATGTGTTTACAGAACTTTGACTCACAGATGGTAGAGAGACATAATAAACCAGAGGTGGAAGTCAAGTAAGTGTCACATCCTTATTACAAACTAGACCAAGTTTTCTCTTACATCAGACAATAGCCATTTTGATAGACAGATGTAAGGCTTGTGGAACATATAGTGTAGGACCAAGAGAAAACTGGAGCTACTAAAGGAACATATGCTGTGACAGGTTGCTAAGCCATGTTCAAACAAAGACACAAAACCTTTTGAGAGTCCTAACCATAGTCTATTGTTGAATCGAAAGAGTATGAACTCTGTATGTGGTACAAAGTTCGTCTACATTTTGATATAGACGGTTGTAAAGGTAAAGTTTTACTGGTTAACAGATATTTCACAATTACTGTTACGAAATCGTCCGATCCATACATCGGCCAATCACACAATGACCGGAACTTACAAAAACCGTGAAATCTAAAGAACCAATAAAATTAGACATAAGATTGTGACATAAGACAAAATTTAACCAACCAATGACCACACGACACTAAATACAAAGACAATAACGAGACTTACCACTTAAATATACATGAGACTAATGAACAAGATACAGTATAGACGTAAACTAATAAACAAGATTTAACAATTACGGACACAATACAATTCACATTATATTAAAAGTCAATGCTGCCACACATGTACAATGGATGTAAAAATGATCATGATACGATAGAATTAGATTTCTGGCTGAACGCAGCAAAATTATGTTAAATGATACATATATCGTGATTATCTCTCCAAACTATTTTAATTATGAAATAAAGCTGAACAAAAATAATCTTTTACATACTCTGTGTTATATTTGTCTAATGTGATTTGGGGGATTCAAGCAAGAAAAATTGTTACTTTTGTGAAACCAGACGATGAGTTTAAAACAAAAAAAAAAGTACGAAATTTAGTAACCATTTCTTTCAAAACAGAATGAGGACATGTTTTAGATATAAACAGATAGTCATTCCTGATGAAAGACAGGGAAGTTGTATTACATTTTCATCCTTATTTCAGGAGTAACAAGGAGTTATTACTGACACCAGTAGTGATTAGCAGAAATGACAAGGAAAAAGTTTTGATTGAAGGCTCGATAAACTCTGTTAGAATCAGTATAGCTGTCAAACAGGTGAGTTTTACTGTCAAAATCAGTATAGCTGTTAAACAGGTGAGTTTAACTGTTAAAATCAGTATAGCTGTCAAACAGGTGAGTTTTACTGTTAGAATCAGTATAGCTGTCAAACAGGTGAGTTTTACTGTTAGAATCAGTATAGCTGTCAAACAGGTGAGTTTTACTGTACGAATCAGTATAGCTGTCAAACAGGTGAGTTTTACTGTACGAATCAGTATAGCTGTCAAACAGGTGAGTTTTACTGTCAAAATCAGTATAGCTGTCAAACAGGTGAGTTTTACTGTTAGAATCAGTATAGCTGTCAAACAGGTGAGTTTAACTGTTAGAATCAGTATAGCTGTCAAACAGGTGAGTTTTACTGTCAAAATCAGTTTAGCTGTCAAACAGGTGAATTTTACTGTAAGAATCAGTATACGGTAGCTGTCAAACAGGTGAAATTTACTGTAAGAATCAGTATACGGTAGCTGTCAAACAGGTGAATTTTAATCTTTTGTATTATGGATAAACAATGATTTTTTTATTATTAAAGGCAAAGTTTATTTTATAAGAACTGGTTTGGTGGTTAAAAAAGTGAGTTACAGATGATACATGTTCTTATAGAAATAAAATTAAAAAATGATGAAAATGATATTATTTAGATTCCACCTTGATCCAGTAATGAATATGTACACTAGCCAAGACTGACGGATTTAATGTTAAGATTATCATTTCTCTTTCATGAACAGGCAGATGACATTGAGAAAATTTTGTGTCATAAATTTATGAGGTTTATGATGATGAGAGCAGAAAATTTCGTAATACTTCGACGAAAACCAGTTGAGGTAAGATAAGTTACAATAGATTGCGAGACTAATCACACAAGTACAAAAGAAATGGTTTAGACATCAAATGGAAAAACTCCATCGAGTGTTAGAATGAAAACAAACAGAAATGTCTGTTAAGACATTGTTAAGAAAGATATGATATGAGTACCTTAATGTGTACATTTATGTAAGTGTATTGAGTTGAGTTTTGGGTTAAATGGGACCACAGATACATTCTCTAATAATCTGTTTTGTTTTTTACAATGTTTTGAATTAAGCAACTGTTCTTTTGTACGGACAGAGAAAAAACTCAATATCCATTCATTAGATGAGAGTAATTCACAAATACGATTTACAAGTCGGCATTTTGTTTCCTACTCTTGTCTAAAACTGCTTTGAAGGATTAAAAAGAATCTGAATATTGTTTTTGTACAATAGCAGTATAGATGTGTGTCCTATTTCTCTTCAGGGATATGACATTAGTTTCCTCATCACAAACTTCCATGCAGAACAGATGTACAAACATAAGTTGGTAGACTTCGTCATCCACTTTATGGAAGAAATTGATAAAGAGATAAGTGAAATGAAATTAGCTGTCAACTCCAGGGCTCGTGTCAGTGCGGAAGAATTCCTCAAGAGGTTTTAGTGACCACAGAACTAATTAAAGGTAAGATATGAGCAGCAGAATACTAAATGATGAACCATTTTTAGTTTTGTCTCTACTTTTCTGGCATCTTACTTTAAAATTCCCTATATATGGTAGCTGTAAGTATTATGGTATATCCAGTTATTATTTGCAGTACAATGTAAATGCAAAAGATTTAATATGTACAATGTTGGGACCCATGTGAATTGCATACCCTGTTAAGTCCAAATAGCAAAATTTCAATTTGATAAAATATTATTAGATTTTTGTTTTTAAGAAAATTTTAACCCATGGAAATTACAAGTTGTATGGTTTATTCCTAAAACCTGGGTATGTTTACTCACTTAGTTTGGGCTGCTGCATAATATGTATAGTCTTCTTTTGAACTTAAATGATTTTAGAGAAACCTTCTTAAATGAATCTATTTCTTTTCCACAGAATTTATGAGAAAAATTCCATCAGAGACAATCTGCCAACACAAGGGAGACCGTACTTGACTATAAAGTATGTCGGGTATATGTTTTCATTGGAAGGGAGCTGTGACTGTGCTAAGACTTGTTATGTAGGAACTATTATTTTTTACCATTAAACATCATATCACAGGTTATTACTACTGAATTGCAGTATTTTCAAATCATTGTTTCTTGGGAAGATATGTCACGCTACCCCAAGATGAACATATGAGGAAAAACATGTCTATAAACCTGTCAACCATTAGTTTCTCGATGAATGAATGAAACAATTATGATTTTGTGGGAACAAGAAAGTACATTTTGTTACCAAGGTTTTTTTTGAAAATCTTGCTGAAAATTTGAAACCATTTCAATTTTATTAGGATTTAAATGATATTTACTATCTGTGTCCATCATGATTTTACAGTCTGTAGCTGGTAAACCTGTATTGGTATATGTAGTCAGGATGTACACAGATATTGTGAAGGATAAAAAATGCTTGACCATTACATAACTTGGAACTGCAAACCTTTGGGAATCAAATTAAGCCTGATATTTCTTCTACACTGAATTTTTGAGGATTATTTGTTCCAATATCAGGTGACATATTGGAGATACTATTTAGGTATTTTTTGAATTCTTTATGGAAATTGATATCAGATGGATGAAAGGTTATCATCGTACCTGTGATTATGTTCTTTTTGTTTGTCCGTGTACAACCAATTCATCATGACGGTTAAACTGGTATCATGAAGACCTAATTTTATACAAGACAGAAATATAGACTGTACATTATTTATGTATGCAAGTTATATGTACCAGTATGTAAATGTACATTGTATTTATCATAAAATATACTTATTCTCTAATTCATCCTCTGGATGTATATACTAGAGGTCTACTATGAAAAAGCTATACATTTCCAAATGCTTAAATAAAATTTTTAACACAGTGTGATTTCACTTGTTTTTGTTTTCGTTTGAATGCTGGTTTGTAGAGGACACCAAGTAGAATAGAGAGTATCGATTTTATCTTATCATTTCTGATCGGCGATCAAATATTGTAATGGCTGCCATCCAACTTTCTATCTCATGCCAATCTCTGTACAGTACAGTAAATTTTGGCAGATTCTACTCCTTAACTTCATATACAATGTGGAGCTTCACAAAAAATGCTTGATGTTTTCAGGTCCAAAGGTCAAGGTTACAATCACACATAGAAAAAATCGTTGGCGCGATTTCTCTCAATTTTTCATACCATGCAGTGTCATCAAAAGAACTTGAAATTGCTTTTAAGGTCTGAAGGTCAAAAGTGAAGGTCATTGTTACTTTCACAAGAAGCTAGTTTCTTCTGAATAACAAGGCTCATGATCATGACTCTGAAGTATAAATGTATTATGCTGGGATGAATGGCCTTGACTGATTTTAATGATTAAAATTTACAAATAACAAAATGTTGAAACACTTTCTAAAAGTTAATATATGTTTAGTGTGTAATAACATAGAGTTATATTGAAACAATTGACAGAGACAGTTCATAGTTCCAGAGTTGGCTGTATAACATAATAAAGCTAGTAATGGTAATGAAATCACAGGACACAGGACAACATTGTGTTCAAAAATAATTTATTAAATCTGATTACATAAAATATCAAGAGAAACAAATTGCTAAATACCGCTGTACTCACAACATTAACTTTAAGAAAATTAATTTCAACAACATAAATCATATATCTATATCAGTAAGGACCTAAATCGCCCACAAGTGTGATTACATAGTTAAAGGGCAAGAGTCAAAGCTGTGCTCAAAGGTCATCTGAAAAAAGTTCTTTATAGACAGGTGCCCCTTTTAGAGAGGTGGTTAATGTATGTAACGTTATATAAATGTGGAATTTATATAGGAAAGTATAGAATGGACCTATTCATAAATGAATATAAACCTGTTTATTCATGTTTTACATGTAAACAGACTTAAATGTCTTTATTTTACAATTTTATTATGAAAAATTTCAGTAAATCATGGTTCACAAAAACCAAGCAGAAAAGACTAACCACAGATTAGTTGACAATAATGTTTTGGTAGAGTAGCGTACACAAATGAGTAAAACTAATATAAGATATGGTATATTAATTAGACTAAAACAAGACTTCTGATATGGTTGAATAACTCAAAACAATAAACTGAACTTGGGTGAAAAAAAACACATGGTATGATAGAATCAGTCTAATTTTCATAATTCCATATTTTTGCAAATTAAAAGTAAACATCAAAAGTATGAAACTTCTTACAAAGAGCAGAATTAATGAAAGCAAATATTGTATTGTTAAATAAGAAAATGAAACATAATTTGAATTTCTATAAGTATCACACATTACCTTTCAGGTAAGTATAAACATCACAATTCTTACATGAAATTAATTTCACAGTCTGTATAGATATCGCTACTATCGCATGCTCTCCCATACAAGAAGTATATCACACAGCCCTGAGATTTCCAACTCAAATTCAAGGACACTGAATATATACATCTGACCCCATCCTGACCTCAGAGGATGATTCTCTAGAAAGGTCAGCACAAGGTCAAATGTATCATGCATATTAGCAATCTTTATCAACAGCAGGCATCAATTTTCTGGGGACAGCCAGTTGAGCGCCTTCATTGTCACCTCAAATCCTAAGAAACAGGCCTACAATAGAGGAAAGATATTCATTCATATACAGATAGTGTTTTAAACACATTCAGGGTAAGGTGGAAAATATGTACATTTGACATTTTAACTCAAAAAATAGAATTTTTCTGAGCTCTCATGGACTTTTATGAATGAGGAAAAAATCCAAAATAATCAGGTGATTTACAAACACACCACCTCACCAAGGGAAATCCATACACCAAGTATGAAGATCCAGTGTCTAGTATTGTAAGAGATAGAGCACAGACAAACTTTTTCTTAAATGTAGGTCAAAAGTCAAAATTTAGGTCAGAGTCACCTACCGGTACTGGAAATGTGACATCACCTCACCAGGGTGAAAACATATTCAGAGTATGAATTTCCAGTGATTGGTGATGTAGGAAATTATTTAAGTTTTTTAACTGATGTAGGTCAAAAGTCAAACTGTAGGTCAAAGTGACCAACTTTTGATACATGACACACATCTCTTTGATGTAGGTCAATGGTCAACATGACTACTGTGTTTATTTTAATACGAAACACACTTTTTCACCAAGATTAATATCATGATCCTTTTTATGTGTGTGACATTTGATGAAAATCAATCTTGACATTTGATGAAAATCAATCTTCATATGAAGCTGCTAGAGAGCTGATAAAGGTTAACATTTATGTTCGACACAACATTTGACCTAGGGGATCCAAAGTATTAAGGATTCCAGTGACACTGAAGGACAGATGCTCACAACGAGATACTATAGTCTCCCTTCATCCCTACTAATAAGCTCAGACCCTTTAGTCTGTCAGCAAGACCCTGAAACATTCTTATCAAAAGCAACTTTGTCACCAAGAGAAACCGCAAATACTTTGCTCATATAAATAAACAAGTAATTAATTTTGTACCTTATGGTTGTACAACAACAACATATTATACATCCAAACTGTTGACATGTTAAATAGGAAGTAAATCTGTGTATCATACTTCAAGTGTTTGAGTACTTACAGCATTAGCTGGGAATGCTCTGAGCATGACTGGGGTGAAGCCTTTGTACAGGGACATAAACCCTTCCTCCCTCATCAGCTGTCGGTACACGTCACGGATACCATTGGGGTATGTACCAGCAGGAGCTGTTAACCAATAAAACCAAGGCATTAAAATGAATGAGAAATTCTTCTTCTCAACAGCTGCAGGCTAACCTAACTAATCAGTTTCTATTTTGGATGCAATTCATTGACTGTGCTATTTATGCACAGCATAACAGTTGGCATTTACAATTGTGTCATGATTTATAATAAGGTCCATTTGAAATATGCTATCATCTCATGTTGGCAAATATTGTTTAATTATCAATATCAAGGATGCACAACATCTTTCCAGGACCACTGGCTGCCAACTGATTCAGTTCTCGCCAATACATTTGTTTCCCCAGTATAGGAGAGAATTAGCAAGAATACTGGTAGATAAGTGACCAAAAGAATACAGGATTATTTCACAAAATAAAATCAAAATTCAATTTAAAGATTACAAAACCCAGACACATATTAAAATGATAATTATAGTATAGCCAAATTATATCAGACATAGAAATGAATTCTTTGAGACCTAAGAAAGAAAACTCACCTGTCTGTAGCCTTGATTTGAGGACATCTGCTGGGAGACACACACCCCAGTTACAAATGCCTGCCACTCCCCCAGCGAACAGGGTACGTCCCACACTTAAATCTTCACGACTGTAAAACACACAATATACCCCTGTTACAAACACCTGTCATTCCCCCAGTGTCCATCGTAAGCTTCACACTCAAGTCTTCACAACTACAAACATCTGTCATTCCCCCAGTGTCCAGAGTATGTCTCACACTCAAGTCTTCACAACTACAAACATCTGCCATTCCCCCAGTATCCAGAGTATGTCTCACACTCAAGTCTTCACAACTACAAACATCTGTCATTCCCCCAGTGTCCATCGTAAGCTTCACACTCAAGTCTTCACAACTACAAACATCTGTCATTCCCCCAGTGTCCATCGTAAGCTTCACACTCAAGTCTTCACAACTACAAACATCTGTCATTCCCCCAGTGTCCAGAGTATGTCTCACACTCAAGTCTTCACAACTACAAACATCTGCCATTCCCCTAGTATACAGAGTATGTCTCACACTCAAGTCTTCACAACTACAAACATCTGCCATTCCCCCAGTATCCAGAGTATGTCTCACACTCAAGTCTTCACAACTACAAACATCTGCCATTCCCCCAGTATCCAGAGTATGTCTCACACTCAAGTCTTCACAACTACAAACATCTGCCATTCCCCCAGCCTCACACCAGTCTTCACAACTATCTGCCATTCAACGTCCAGAGTATGTCACACTCAAGTCTTCACAACACACCAATAATATCACACCAAGTCTTCACAACTACAAAATATATGGCAAGTCTTCACAACTACAAACATCTGTGTCCAGAGTATGTCTCACACTCAAGTCTTCACAACTACAAACATCTGTCATTCCCCCAGTGTCCAGGATAAGCCTCTTACCCAAGTCAACACACCAATAATATCCCAATTACAAACATATGGCATTCTCCCAGCATCCAGGGTATGTCTAACACCCAAGTCAACACACAAATAATATCCCAATTACAAACATATGGCATTCTCCCAGTGTCTAAGGTGTACCTCACACTCAAGTCTTCGAGACGATCAAACACAATCTGACCATTAGTCTTTGCATTACTGACTGTAAAAAATATATCATCCATCGTACAAGGTGAGAAAAATTGGACTATATCAAAACTACTCAGAAAAAGATGAACAAACTTATGTTAGAACAAGAAATATCCTAGGGTTCTTTCACAGTGAAAATCTAAGACATAATTTTGAGGGTTGATTTTACACAAAATTTTTTCAAATCAATTCTTCTTTCTTGCCATTTTTGTGATTTTTCTTAAGAAAAGCAAGCAACAAAAGTTTTCATGTGTTATACAGTATATTGTGGCTGTCCTTCAAAATATCCAAGTCATTTGTTAGAGATGGGATTATAACATTACAATGATGGATCATCAATTTGAATATCTAGTGGCTTGAACTATCAGACATGGGTGTTTGCTAGATACAGTAATACAGTCAGTAACAGGAACAAAAACATGACCGACTCAAGCCCCCTCCGTCTGTCTTTTGCATTTTAAAATGTAACTGAATGTGAGAGTACATAAAAATAACAGTTTAAGGTGTATGTTTGAATGGTGGCCATCGCTACAGCAGTATTTGGTAGTCCTAAATTCAGATGTATGTCGAATGGTGACACTAGCCTCAAAAATATTTGTTGGTCCAAAGTCAGGTTTGAACTTTGACCTACCTTCCTCCTGCTGGTGTGAGTGTATGTTGTAGATACTCGTAGCTCATGAAATACATTCCACTAGCTGGTATGTCTGAAAACACATCAAAACAATGTTTTTTATGATAAGTTTTATGAACTTACGGCAATATCCTAAAATAGCACTGCAGCGACTGATTTAAGTACAAGACACATGTATTGTAGAACTTAGAAATGAAAAGGTGTAATGTTTAATATATGTATAAGTGTAGTGTTCAATATATAGCTATAGTACTCGATGTACACATGTAAAGTTCAATGTGTAGGTGTAGTGTTCATTAAACAGGCTTAGTGCTTAAACATGTCCCATCTCAACACAGTATGACTGCAATAGCTTACTACCTTCCACCCCTCCATCCATTGTTGGTTTAGGCTTAAATACCTGCTCTACCCTGGAGAATTATTGATCAAACATGCTTACACATCATTAAGGAAGTAAACTTTCTATCTTGTGCCTCAACTAGGAGGAACCTTGCTGCAGTGTCCTTCTGGATACTGTTGTGACCTACCTTTAAGTAGTGTGAGTGTTACTATAGTGCATGTGTAGATATTGCTGTGACCTACCTCGGAGGAGTGTTGCCGCAGTACCCTTGTAGATACTGCGGATTCCACCTTCCTTGTATAGCTGCTTGGCACAGTCAACAGGACCAGCATATTTCTTCACCTTTGAATCAGCCTGGATCTGTAATAGCAGAGTCATTATATTCTGAATCAATTCATTTCTTAATACAAAAAATGAAGTAAATGCTTATTGTCAAAAGAATAGATATGTTACCTAATTGCCTTTACCATGTTATAAGGATGTTGTACAGAAGAAATGTAGTGAAAACAGTTCATTGCAATTTGTACAACATACCTGTAGAAGACACTTAATCCTCTCCCCTGGGGTCATAATTCCGGTGGTAAATACTCCAGCCAGTCCTCCAGCCATGAAAATTTGAACATACCTAAACAAAAACAAATTTTTAAAAAATGTCTTTCATGATGCTGTAATTGATCTAGTAACAGAAAGAAAGTGATCGTGATTTAGAAAAAATAGACAATTTGTAAAGGGCAAAAAACTTGGGACAAAATCTGATATCAAAGAATAAAATTTGTAACACATATAGAGTTTAAATTTAACTTTTTTGTTTACTAATTCATTGTTTCATTAAAACTGTTATTTATAGCAACTTTTTCCTTCTTGAAATAAAACAATTAAGATTTATATAAATATTTATAGCTTCCTACACAAGACATGTAAATATGAAACTCTTACGATAGAGAGTCTCCAGGATTCTTCTGTTGTAATCTTTTACCCACTCCAAAACCAAAGAAACAGATGGCAAACATAGGTGCCACACCCATCAAAGGGGCAGCCATGCCTTTGTATAATCCCAAGAATCCCTGTAGGAAAAATTACATTTATTACAACTATTTAACTATATGTACGATTTCTCCTGAATGTACTTATATAAGTTATAGGCTACTTATATGAAAGTGGACAAAACACTTGCAGTCTGTTACCTCTTTCTGGACTGTCTTTAAGGCACAGTCTAGTGTTCCCTTGTATAATGGGCTCTGTCCTGGTGCTGGTTTGGGCATGGTCTGTACTCGCACCTGGGAATCAGAAAAATAGAATTTGCCGAGCTTTGATTATCAATTTAAAAAAAAAAAACAGGGATGAAATAATAAGAGTTCATGTGTCATTATTGTCATATGAAGGAGTAATACGGCCTTCTTTTTGACCTTGATAATATTTTCAACTTTTTGACTTTGAGCATTAAATTCAATCCTGGATTTCAAAAGATATATCTATACAATCTTAAATAAAAATTTTGACTCTATAATTTGGGGTAAAAGTAACTAAATATAACAAAGATTGAAAATGAGTTTTTAAAACAATTACAAGAAAAATGTTGACTGATGACTGACTATATTTTTCAGCCTTGATTCTACCCTGAAGTTTTTAACATTTATCAAAGAAGGGCCATCAAAATGAGAATCTGCATCTATACATCCTGATTCTAAATATCTTACCAACCTTATTTTTTAGAGACATTTCAGTGGAAATGTATTTTTATGATCTAATTGAAAAAGTCCTGTCCATCACTGGGACTCAAAGTAATGACCTTTAGGTGGTGGCAAGGCTGACATCTGCCATGTTACTACAGCGAAATTCAGACTCCTGCTAACTTGTACAACAATGTAGTGGGACAACATGTGCTTCCACCTACTACATATGACTGATACAGGTTGAGCATTATTAAAGAGGTAGAATAGAATTGATTTTTGTGTATTTCTATGGTAAAAGGTCCTTGTCTTGAACTCAAAATGCACTGTACAGTTTGTAATTGCCTTGGCATTTGTGGTGATATTGAATTGTCATAATCCTATGGATAATATATTTCCTGCTAGCTGAGAGATAACTGGATGTGTATGTTTGCATGTCTGAATATGTTTTTTGTATGTTTTTAAACACTTTATCCATATTAAATACAGTACTTTACACATTACATACAGTACTTTATAAAAATACATTATATATATCGTCAGTGTGATGCTGTTGATAAACGTGATACATTGATTGACAGATGTATTTCACCAGTTTTAGTTGGACGACGTCTTTGTAACATTGACAATTTATATACAATAATGCTTTGAGGTCAAAATTGATTCTAAGGCAGGTTCAGTCGAGTGTAACTGGATCGGGGTCAAAGTCCACAACAAATAAAATATTAGTATTACAGGACGAAGCGCGAAGATTTCTCCCCCGAGCTCTTTACAATGAAAAAAGTATACAGCACTTCAGTAGACTTCAATATAGAAACAAACATTGCATCATCAGAGCTGTCCGGAAAATTAAACAGAACGGTTTTATTACTGCACTTGGTCACAAAGCAGGACTCGTCTACACTGACACTGATACGCTAACCTGAAATAGAAAATAAACCAGTATTACCTTTATGGTGTCAAGAGGATGGCCGGCAAAAACGCAACATACTCCTCCTGCACCTCCGGCGATAAAGTCCTTCACGGGATTCGACTTTTTCCCCATTGCGTTTTATTATTGCAGGAATGGAATTGAGCAGTGCAAGCCGGTCCAGATAAACGTTACCGGAACTTGTCAGAGTTATGGGCCCTTAATTAAAACATTAAGGTTCCATGCGCGTCATATACATGAACCAACGGGTCTGCCCTTCAGAATACTTTTAGAAAATAAAAGTTTAAGCTTACTAACATTTAAAGATGAACCAGTCAATTGAAGTCAATAAGATAATCTAATTAGAATAATTTAATAAATTCGAAAATTACTGTAGGACATGTAACAGAATCGAGGATTACTCCTCTTCCAAGTAACTTACTTACTTAAACTTAGTGAAGATTATGTCATGTTTGAGAGAGACAAAATGTGTGCTAACAGAGAAAATTGGTTACCTGGGTCGTCTTGAAGTTTGTCTGAGATGTTTGGACGTAATGGCAATTTTTGCATTGTATCTTTTGTAAAACATTACCAGCCTTGCATCTTTTCTGCGGTCTCGAGGCTACATCATTTCCGATGTTCTAACATGTTACATACACTGGAGGTGTTACGATAGAGATTGACAACGAAACGGGCAGCCCAGCCCTGGATCATCTCAACTTTGTCTATATCTTTTTTTTCAAGTAAGGGTCCCATACTGCGCTTGCATGTTCTACCTGAAGGCGGACAAAGGATTTTTAGTTTTTTTTCTTTGAAGTCAGTATATTGAATTTTCAAATTGACCTTCAGGAAACCTAGAGTGGTATATTTTTGTTCTTGTTTTTAAATGCTTATTTTTGGTGATTTATAAGACGTGACGTTTTTCAGAATAGAAAGCCATTTTCCTCCCAAAGTGCTAATCTATCCAAATCTATTTGCAGGGAGTTGGCCAAGTACATGGTAGTATCAAATGATCTCATAGTGAAATTTATATCTTCAGCAATGTCATTGATGTAGTATAGAAAAAGACTCGGCCCGAGGACCGAGCCTTGGGGCACCCCAGATCTTACTGGGACAGGATAGGGCACTTCTACTTCTACTATCAAAGACTGGTTTCTACATCTAAGGAAGTTAGATATCCAGGCAACAGCTTTATTCCACAGCCCTTACGTTTATGGACGAGCAGTGAATGGCTCACTTTGACAAAGGCCTTACTAAAGTCCACGATTAACATATATATTTGTTTGCCATCTTCCAGCTTACAAGAAATGTCATCTATTAATTCAATTAGCTGGCTTTCACTGGACCTAATTTGTCTGAATCTATGCTGTAAGGGAAAAACAACGTTATTGTTATCAGCATATGGCATAGTACTTTACAGCAAATACAAGTAAGTGAAATGGGACAATACTTTTCGGGCCTTTTTTGTACATTGGAGCGATAGGGAGGAGGGAGAAGGGGGATTTCGGATGCTAATTCTTTAAGGATATTTGGTTTTATGTCGTAAGGATCAGCAGCTTTTGCTGGGTCTAGGTAAGGAGAAGTTTGTTTGCCCCCTTAGTTGTTTAGTTGAATACTTGGCATCACAAGAATGCTTTCGTTGCGCATTTTATATTGCTACATGTGTGTCTATGAATTAGTGTTGTCGGTACTTGAGAAGACAGATAGAAACTGATTGTTCAATAAATTGGCCTTATGAGAGCGGTTGTTGTGGAGTTTGCCATTATACTTCAGTGCCCCGGTTTGCAATCAACTGAGTCTGTAGTGGGGCTGATTTTACCTTCTGTATATTTCCATTAAACTTGCTTCAACATGTGGTTGTTACGGGTTGGAAATGTAACACATTGTGTGAACCAACCAGTCATCAAGGAGATTGCCAAAGTTGTAGTGGATTTTTTTAATGGTCAGTGTTGGGCTATATGATCTAATTTGTCCAGTCCTTACCAGGTAAATTGAAATTACCATCGATGACTAGTGTGGAGTTACGGAGCTGGGAGGCTCGCCTTAGTGAGATGTCAATGATTTTTGCACGTTTTTCGTTGTAAGGTTTAGGGTTGTAATATGGACACGTGTGTAGTGTTCTATTTCCAACGATCTTGATCTTGGTCAATATAATTTTGGACACTTCAGGCAGATAAAGATCTTCAGCAGCGTCACTTATGTATGTATTTTTTCTCTTTGTCAAAGATTGAACATGTGTTAAAGAAATTGTAAAACCAAATTTGTTGGATCTGGTAGTCACACTTGAGGCTGTATCAAAGCATCAGACTCACTTTAATTTGATAAGAGTGACAATTGTGGGCCGAGTTTCGATTAAAAAAACGTTACACCGCTGTATCAAAGATTTTATATGGTAAGCGGGTAATTGGGGGGAGGGGAGGGGTCTAAATGAATTACATCCATATCATTTCGGATGGAAATAGGTCTTTCTCAAATGTGAGTAATTGAGTGGACGCTAGTGACTTCGGGTGTACTTCAGGGAAAAGTCAAGTCTAATAGTCAAGTCAAGACTTATGGTCAAGTCTAATGGTCAAGTTAAATTGTCAAGTCAATTCTAATGGTCAAGTTAAATGGTCTGGTCAAGTCTAATGGTATAACACTGTTATATAGACAAGAGTAAGGAATGTCAGGTTCGTTTCGTCTGTTTTAATGAGTTCATTATACAGGATAACAGTTTTACAAAATTACGCTTCCCTGGTGGTATTTGAGAAGCGGAGCACTGGTATTGTCCAAGGAACAGTCTCGTGGCTTAGTACTTCAAATGGACATCAGCTTGATTCCGGATAGTACCTTTCGTTGGACACCTTTCTACCAGCACTCTGGACCTGTTGTGGGCACCTCCCTACCAGCACTGATTTAGCTTGGTCGGGGCGCCTTATTTATAGCATTCGGGAATTGCGTCGTGGAATTCCCATTACAATGAAAGCCAGTTTGACCGATGGCCAAAGTGGTCTTAGTTGACTTGACCGATGGTCAAAGTGGTCACAGCTTGCAGCGTATATACAATTTATAAATGTGATTTATAAATGTACACATTAAATGGACATAGTGTGTATCAATTATGGAATACAAATACACAATCAATTATAACAATTACTGGTTATGAAATTTTTACCCTTATTTTGTTACAATGGTCAAGTCTAATGGTCAAGTTAAATGGTCAACTCAAGTTTAATGGTCAAGTCAAGTCTTATGGTCAAGTCAAGTCTAATGGTCATGCTCTCAGAATGAAGCCACCAATTACTTTTACGATTTCATGTGGAAATTGCTAATCCATGCATGTTGGTCGGACATTGGAAAATCTTGGTCACTTTCAAAAGAGGATATATTAAGTGATATAGTAGTGACCATACATAACAGCCTTGTATTTGAGGATCACATGTACACAAATTGAAAAGGCATATGTGAATAAACAAAAAAACACCATTTATATAAGTCTCTTGTACGGTTAAAGTGGAACCCCCACCCACACCCACACCCCCTTCAACCGGGCTTCGCCCCTGGACTCTCTCATGAACGCATACACTCCTAAAACATTTGAAACCTACTACACGACCGCTAGGTCTACTTGAAACCTGTGGAAAAGACAGAAGTCATTCTAGTTGATCTATAGTTATATATGGGTACATTATCGGCTCCTTGTTACATGTGCTGACTTTCAACGGCCATGAAGACTGATGTTAATGTACATACTGGTCGCATGAGCACGGTGTAGTTTTCACAAAAAGGATGGAAAGTGTCCTGACTAAGTGATTTGTTAGGCTTAATAAATGCTTCACTCATGACTCATGAAATCGTTGTGTTGATCGTTCTTAATTCTTTATTTCCGTTTCTGGTAATCAAACTTTGTGAAATATTATCGGTGTTTAGGCTGATACAGTGTCAGTTTCTGTATGTCATTTTGGTCGCCATCGTGATCTCACTAGACCATTATACATTGTATATCCTGGTGTGAAATGAAGTGAAATGGTTTCTCATATGGGAACATCGGTTGACATATTTTATATAGCCGATGTTCCTCATGCACATCTGCTCATACATATTTTCCATATATTTTAATTCTTAATATCATGCCCTCATTAGATATGTTTATTTATTATTTATTTATGTTTAAATTAATATTTTGTGAGCATGTCTGTTTATGTTTTATTTTACTATCTCAGACATACTATTGATGGCTTCAGCAGACGCCATTAATATTAAAATGCTTCAGGTGTTTTGGCATGAAAGTATACTTTTAAAATGTATAAAGTAATCTGTCTCTATCCAACAGACGACATAAACTGAAAGCACATAGCCAAGTGTACGGAAGCGTACTCCGGCCACGTTGTGTTTTATTTTAACTTGAAATTTCTAGTTAGTAATTCGAAATTTTGAGTTATTAATCCGAAATTTTGAGATATTTTGAAATATTAATATCTCGAAGTTTCGACTTACCAAGTCGAAATTTCGAGTTATTATCCCGAAATTTCGAGTGAAAATAAAACACAACGTGGCCGGAATACGCTTCCGTAGCACCCAGTTCTCTCAGTACTTACAAAAGTCGTTTCGGTCCTTGCAAAATGGTCTACACAGCTAGTGTCAATTTTAGTGAATAGTTTTTCAGTACTGGAATGAACAATATTTATTAACGACGAAACACCTTTCAAACACTATTTAGATACATAAATCAAGATACTTTTAAAAGTGCCGAAACGACGTGCATGTATTTTGGAAGTACCGAAACAACCTGGTACCGAAACGATTTGGCCTCTCAACAAGGAGTACCCTTGATTCAGTATTATTTCTATACATGTATATATTTGTTCATTTTTATTATATATGCTTATGAAAAATGCCTTTTTTTATTTGTCCTTCTATTAAGCTTCAACTTAAATAACATCTTTTTTTCTGTTTGATATGAACCAAGTATCTCCGCAGTTAAAGTATATATATATATATAAACCCAACCTCTACTTCGGTCAGACATAATGGCGACACTGACCACAATCGGCTGAGAGGGAAATACATATACTGGACGATTCTCCCAATAAAAAGATGTTATCCGTAAGGCGAGTAACAAACGATACTCGCATAGGGCAGAGGTTTCTCTAGCCCTCAGGTCACTTCAGACATGTAAAGGAATGTGGCTGCCAGAGACATTAAGATCGAGACATATGAATGGTGATAAGTGCATACATACAAAACACATGCTACTTTGAATGATGATGTCCGAAAAAGCCCAGAGAAACTCTGAGTCAACGCCTCATTTTCTTTTATGTAATCTTAAGTTTCTACTTTCACTTTCACTTTGTAACATTCAATGGATATTTACTCGAAAACGAAGGAAATGAAAAAAAAATGTACCCGATCGATTGTGTTCGTTTATCAAACTAGGGAAACTAAAACACGGAAACATTCCGTCCTCGACACAGTGATTTCATGATGCTGCTAAATTGACAGACTCTGCATTTATCTTATATTTAGATTGTGAATCACACTTTTTAATGACGTCATTCGACCAAAGCCAATCATATCGTCCGTTTCATTTTCGTTTCGGTCTGCTTTTCGAGACATTTTCTAAAATGGCCGAAGGTGGTGTAGTCGAGATGTCGGAAGACACCGAAAAAATCCCCGATTGTGCCAAACAGAAGTCAGAAATTGCAAATTTGATGAAGAAAACTCTTAAGAAAGGAGACACGTGGTATGTATATATCAAGATTCACCGATTTGATGAAGCAGATTGTGTACTAAAGTGGTCTGCAACAAGTCGGCGATGATCTTGACTTGTGTCAAATGTTGTGGTGAAATCGCATAATTGTAAGTCATCAGTTTCCATGCGTAATGTTACTTCGCCCATCCCCAGGGCCATTCTTTTCAACACAAAACATTGACATGCTCTTTGTTGTTTTCTCATACAACGAATCATACTAAATATTAGAAGTTTGTCATTAAATCATTTTAATAGAATTTGAGTTTAGTAATGCTGATTTTTTTATCGGTAAGCTTAATCCCCTTTAGGATTCCTCCTTGAGACTCATCTATATCGGATGTTCGACAATGTCCCTCGTTGAAATTCCTTAACAGGCCCTATTTACTCTATTCTGGAAATTAATTCAGGTGGACCTACCTCCAGTCTTGTTGTATTGCACGAAAACTATAATTACATGCGCTGCCATACTACCACACAACGCTAGTTAAGACATTATCCTTTTCAGAAATGCAACAGTTCGCTCATGACACTCACTACATATCCACAATCATCATGTTTTACAAGAGATGTTCTGTCAGTCCGCTTCGGTTGACTGGCCATTTGGAAAATTAAATCTATATTTGTATTAAAATCTTCAAGTTTCCCTTAGCGTCATTCTTGTTTCTATAGGTATTTGCTGGACACAAAATGGTATAAACAGTGGAAAAAGTATGTTGGCTATGACAGCTGGGACTCGTTCAGTGTTGGGGAACAGAACTCTCACCCAGGACCTATGGACAACTCTCCACTTGTCAAAGGTCAGTCATGCAATAAGATATGTGTAATATATTGAATTAATCCTGCAGTATTGGTGTTCTTTTGTATGTTCTTATAAATTTCTGAAAAAATATTCCAAAAATGCTGTTTTAAATATATATGTAATGCTTAAACCCACCTCTACTAACTGCAAGAAAATTTTGTGAGTGTGAATTGATAAAATGAAGTGTATGTTCAAAAAGGCATCAAAGTCTTAAATGATATTCTGGCAAAGTGCCTGTGTTGTTGATCTTAGTCACAGACTTGGATTAGCGGCCGGTGGTTTTCTATTGTAAGTGGATTACCTAACTAAGATGTGAAGGTGTATAGTTAAATATAGATTTAACAATATGTTATTCAATAGTTTGACAATACCAACACATACAACATATAGTATTTGTATTTTGTGATTGAAATATCAACTTCAGTAACAAGTTACATTGAATGAGTTAAGATTTTGTATCAAAGCTATATTTCTTAAGGCAAAAAATAACAGGAGCCTAATCACTGAGATGATAAAAGCAAAAGACCTCCACCTGAAAATTCCTTCATAATTGTTTGAATATGAAATTTCAGGATGTTGAAATCCAGGTTTATATTTAGTTAGCTAGTTATACCCTCCACTTAGTAAAACTGAGCATTTACATGGAATAGTGTAGTGTCCGTAGCTACAAGGCTTATATATAAGATGTCTCATGAACTTCTCAACATGTCGAGACTCTTCGTGTTGTAGAGGAGGAAGGGGGCCAGAAACACCATTTAATTGTAATCTTATAAACGTTTTATGTTTTAGAGGATTTAGGGGGCAAAAACATCACTTGATTATAGTGTTTTTGTGTTGTAAAAGAGGAAGGGGGTCTAAAACACTGTTTGATTGTAGCCACTTTGTGTTGTAGAGGTGGAAAGGGGCCGGAAATACCATTTGATTGTAGACTTTTTGTGTTGTAGAGGAGGAAGGGGGCCTGAAACACCATTTGATTGTAAACTTGTAAACTCTTTGTGTTGTAGAGGAGGAAGGGGGCCTGAAACACCATTTGATTGAGGAGTTAGACTATATGTTATTGCCAGAGGAAGCCTGGGAGAAGATGCTGGCCTGGTATGGTTTAACAAAGGACCAGGTAAGCAGATACACCTACAGGAATCTGAAATACTACCATACATTTAGGGTGTACAATATCATATTTAGACTTGGAGTACTAGTCAAAGCTATACCCAAATATGAAAATGAAAAAATGACTTTCTGGCACTGGGGTAAAGTATAAGGAATTAAATAACTTCGTCCAATAACATGCATGCTAATATTTCAGATTCAGTTGGGAGTTTCCTGAATTTTACTTTCCAGCCCCACCTCCTGATCGTATAGATAAAATATTGGAGTACTTTTCTGATTGCAGAGATCTGACTAGGTAGTTCACAAATAATATATTTGTCAAAAAAGAAAAGTAAATGATAAAACTGATCACCTGGTCACATTATCAAGGCCTAGGTGATCTATATACTGCCAAGTCACCTAATCTTCATTGACTGTCACCCTAATTAATGGTAGAGCTTTGGACAGACATCAGAAGCAGGCCTTGGCAAATACAGTTGAAACTCCTCTCGAAATTGCTGAAATCAAAATTCTGCTGGAGTCAAAAAAAATTCACAAGTGCAATTTTTTCCTTCTACGTCAGATGACTCAAATTTCATTGAGTTAAAATTTTGTTAGAGTGGGAGTGATATTTCAGCCCCTCCAACTGTAAAGCAAGGGAAAAGTAATTTGTTTCTCAAAATTGACTTTTGTCTAAACAACGGCATTTCTTCTGACGAAAATGGTCAATACATACACAGTAGAAAGTCACCTTTGTGTGATACATGGCTAATTGCGACACAACATTAATTATGTCATTCTATCATTGGTATATTAGTGATATCATATTTTATTTCATAGTTATTTTATATTATTCACTAGTAATGTGTAAGTTGTGGGTTGCATTATGACCAGTTACATGATAATTTCTAGTATTATTAAACAATATTTAAGACTTTTATTTTGTAACATTTTCCTTGACTCCTACAGGAACCTATAGCACGTGGTGTGATAGAACAAGGAACATTTGTGAAACATTTCAAGGTGGAGGTTTATCTGCTGGATGTGAAACTCTGTCGAAACTCGGACCTGGAAACTGTGATAACCAAACATTTTAGTAGAGTAGCAACAATAGGTACGTTTACCAATACAGTTGATACCACTTAATGTCTCATAGGTTAAATGTCACATCCCACTTATCACGTTTTTACCTGACAAATGGAACATTTTTTTAAAGCTGTTTCACTGTATTTCATACTCTGTTTACTGGTGGAGTTAAACATATGCATACTGTGGTAGAAACTTCACCATCAGTTCTTTCTTGTACTTGACATATGTTTTGTCTCGTCATGTATTTAGTACGCCATGTGTCAACCTCTTCCTGTCTTCCACCACATATATAAAATCATATGTTGAGCGTTGTTTAGGTAATATATGATATATCTAAGGCCTGATTAGACTTACAGGACTCTGTGGGGTCGTCAGCCTGGCCAGACTACCAAGGTTATAATCATAAACACTTCATAGACTATTTGATGCAAAAGTTAAACAAAATTTTCAAAAGAAAATTAGAATTAAAGGAAAATTCTAATTTTGAAAGTTCTTCTGATTTTGGAAATGTATTATAAAGGATGAAAAATAATGATTTAAATGAACACTGAAAGATAAGTTAGAAATTCAGAACTTTTTCTCAAATTAATATAGAAAAGCAGTATTAACTCTGTTCTAGAAAATTTGTTTCATATATATGGTCACATGATATTGTGAAGCGGGTTCTGTGTTTTTATTGATCAGGTTTACAGGAAAAATCTTGAATGAAGAAAAATCAAAGTTGGATATCAGTTAGAGGACTTATAAAAAAAAGAAGAAAAAAATCAAACAAAAAAAAACCCAAAACAATAGTATTTTTGCTAAAGATGGATTTATAGATTTTAGAGAATACTCTTATAGCTGTTCATATCCAACACTTGTGTTATTCTGTATGAGGTGTGAATCTGCTAATCGATCATGAAGTATCATTTCATTGAAAAAATCATATATAACCATATGAGGTGTTAATCTGGTCATTGATCGTAAAGTATTGTTTCGTTGAAAAGCGTTATTGACGATAATCTTGATATAGGAGGCTTTTGTCAATATTTCATTGATATACTCTTTCAATTTGAACAGAAACAATTGAGAAAGAAATGAGAAATGTGTTTGAAATCCCTGAGGACAAAGAAGTAAGATTATGGAATAAGTACATGGCTAGTACATATGAGCACCTGAACAAACCAGAGCACACACTTCAGGACGCCGGACTGTACACAGGCCAGGTAATAGACATCATAGTGCTCATTTCAATCATTTAATGTTCTAACGGAGAAGATGGGGTTGATACCCTGGTCTAATTAGGTCAACTAGGAATAAATTTAATTTGTTTTATTTACTCAGCCTCACGAGAATAACTGAATTAAATTTATTTATGTACTCAGACCAGTGGGAATTGCTAATTTGAATTTACTACAAGTCTGAAGCAGTTCAACACTGGGCGGATAATTACCTCAGATTGTTATGTTAACTGTAATCTGGGATGGACATTAAATTGATAAATTTCTTCTCTTGTCTAACAGACCATTGTGATAGAAGAGAAAAATGAGGATGGGACTTGGCCAAGACAGGCTAAAAGGTAAATGATAGGGACAAAATGGTGGCGATGGGGGCCTTGCAAAGGCAGATTAAACAGTTCAAAACTAATTCAAATCAATTTCTGTCAGCTCATCACACTTTATAAGTAGGTCACTTAGAGAACCAAATTCTGAGTAAGATAAAGGAAAATAAATAAAAAAACAAAGGAAAAAATCCACCTACTATCAGTCTAACTATGGCGTAATAAAAATTGTATTTTGCATTAACAAAATGAATGTAAATAAATGCATTAAGTTAGAGGGGGAAACGATCAATGTTATGAACATGCAGCTTATAATTGGTTTTCATCTTTTTCAGTACAAACACTTATACATCAACATCTACCAGTACAAACTCAAGGTAATCTTTATATATATATTTTTGAATCCTAGTGTGAAAATTTTTTTATTTACTAATGTAACAAATGAAGAAAATAGGAAAGTAAATACGAGTTACAATTCAAGGTTTAATCAAAATGAAAAGCATATATTTTCCTTGGTAGTATTAGTAGCACAAGTAAATATTGAATACATTTCAGTTTAACGATGATACTTTATGAACGTTTCTTTACATAAAAATGTTATTGTTTGTGATGTATTTAGCTGTGTGCTAACTCTCTGTTGACTTATTTATGATGCATTGAACTAACTCTTTGTTGATGTTTTAAGTAGAACCAGCAGTATAGGAAGCACTAGCCATGACTCCAGTTCTGGTTATAGTGGAGGTACCTCCTACAACAGCTACTATAACAGTACCAGTAGCTATGAACCAGGGCGAGGACATGCAACCCCAGGGCTGTGTGGATTAGCTAACTTAGGCAACACCTGTTTCATGAACTCAGCCTTACAGGTAAGTTGTAAGATCTCAGAGCATTAGTCTGTATAAAGGGGGAAATGGTTTCTAGCCAACAGAGGTGTCCGTATCAAGGGGGGACAGGGTTTCTAGCCAACAGTGGTATCAGTACAATGGGGACACGTTTTCTAGCTAACAGAGGTGTCAGTATAAAGGGGACAGGGTTTCTAGCCTACAGAGGTGTCAGTATAAAGGGGACAGGGTTTCTAGTCAACAGACGTGTCAGTATAAAGGGGGCAGGGTTTCTAGCCTACAGAGGTGTCAGTATTAAGGGGGCAGGGTTTCTAGCCTACAGAGGTGTCAGTATTAAGGGGACAGGGTTTCTAGCCAACAGTGGTATCAGTACAATGGGGACATGGTTTCTAGCTAACAGAGGTGTCAGTATAAAGGAGACAGGGTTTCTAATCAACACAGGTAACAGAAAAGTGCTACCTGAACTCAGCCTTACTGGTAAGATATATGGTCCCAGTAACACGTTGAACTTCCACTGAAGCAACCAGGGTTTAATTCTCTGATAAGGTGTGAATAGTCACTTGTCTGAATTCCTGGTTTTCTCTTACATAAAGACTATTTCCACACTTCCAGCCAGGACAACAAGAGTGATTCATATTAGTTGAAATCACTAGTTTTGTAATTGTTGTAAAATACAGAAAATACAAGTCTCAAAAACACATGGTAACACTGTTCTGAATTGAGAATATTATTACATTTTGTTGTTTTTCAGGTCAGGGATCAAGATATGGTTATGGTATTATTCGGCATCAATCAGAGATGAAGTCATACACAAATGTAGTATGTTTATTTTTTCAGTGTATGAGTAGCGTGCCAATGCTGACACAGTACTTCCTCAATGATGACTGGGTGAACGAGGTCAATGAAGATAACCCTCTAGGCATGAGAGGTGAAATCGCACGATCCTATGCGGAACTTATCAAAACACTCTGGTCAGGGAAGTACAGCTATACAGCACCTCGAAACTTCAAGGTATTTAGGCAACGTATTTAGAGTGAAGATTGTTAGTTTGGAGAGGTTTTACTTTGCCCAGTGTCCAGCTGAATAAGGACCACAAAACATAAATCCTTGAGATGGCGAATTAAGAATAAGATTCATTTAGAAAGTGTTCGTTTCTCCATGACTTTCCTGAAAAATATTTCCAATGTCTTTTAGGCATTTGGTAAAAAACTGCCAAAAAATTGATTTGAAATAGAAATCTTTGCCGTATTTTTGTAACACAGAACTACTGAGGTTAACTAAACATACTGATGGTTTTCCAATAACAAATGGCTTGTATAGAACCTGATTCCCCATTCTTGTGTTGTGTTAAAGCATGAGCTTATCATATTTATACTATAGTAGTATGTAGAACTGATGGGATTTAAGTCAGTTTGTGTATCAGAATATTTTGTGGTTAACAGTATGCAGTGGGTAGATTTGCGCCACAGTTCTCTGGCTTCCAGCAGCAGGACTCCCAGGAGTTGATGGCTTTTTTACTGGATGGTCTCCACGAGGACCTGAATAGGATCCGACAAAAACCCTATATTGAGATGAAAGACACTGACTGCCGACCTGATAAGGTAAAGCATTAGATTTAAAACCCTGTATAGAGATGAAAAACACTCCTAGCTGACCTTGTCAGGAAGTTATTTGATGAAAAATAATATGATTAAATTTGCTCACACACTTGTCTCAGTTTGATGTGTTTATCTCTGTGAGAAATTTCCTTTATTTTTTTTTTTAAATCAATATGCAAGTGTGTTAATATGTTTGAAATTATTGGCTATTTCATTTACTCTTACACACATCTTGTATTTGTGTTACAGGAAGTTGCTAAGGAGTCCTGGGAAAACTACAGGAAGAGGAATGATTCTGTGATAGTAGATACATTTCATGGACTTTTGAAGTCCACTGTGCATTGTCCTGAGTGTGCTAAAATTTCTGTAACCTTTGATCCCTTCTGTTACCTCTCATTACCACTCCCAATCAAAAAAGAGCGACAGTTGGAAGTGTTCTGGGTTCCTCTTAGTCCCCAGAAAAAGCCTGTACAGGTAGGTAGTTGTGTTATATGTACAGTTTCAGAGAATAATCATTTATAGACAGGATCTTTGGTCATGAATGACTTTGTATGTCCTCACATTTTGTTGTAGAATGCAGAACAGTTGTTGATTTTGCATAGACAAATCAAAAGTAAATTTTCAATTTCCTAAATTCAAAACGTTTGATTTCCTGTTTAGACAAGAGTAAAATTAGAGATGGTTTTGATATGTGATGGTACATTCCTTGAATAATTGATACACCATGTCAGATGAAGATCTTACTACAATAATTCTGTTGTCTTGCCTGCAACGAAAAGTCCTAGAAGTCCGACTTTTGCTGCCTTTCCATTGGCTTCATCAGTTTTCACCGAAAGGTTTTGCATCAAGATCTCTTGTTCAAAACATATCTGTTCAACTTTAAATTAAACTTTGTACAAAGTTTAAGTCACATCACGGGAACCTCAACACACCCATCATTCACAAAATATCTTCTTTTTATTTCATGTTTTATAATTCATTCATATTTAAACACAACAACATGTCTATGGTGTTTACATATTATATTTCAAAATTTTGTTTAAAATTTGGTATTTTGGAGGGGGTTGTAGTAGTACAGTGGTATTACACTTGTCTCTCACCGAAGGGATAAGGGTTTGATTCTCTAATGAGCCATAACAAGGTTTACAGTCACCTGCCGCATAAGGTGCACAGAATACTCCTATTTCAGGCCAACAAGAATGATACATATAAGTTTATACCTTCCTTTGAAGTTATTGTTATATTATTGCATACAAAATAAGGCAGAAGTATATATACTCTCATCCTACAATAAGAATCAATCACAACAGTCTGTGGAGTGATGGTTTATAGGGTTTATTATACCGTCTACCGGTTTCGCCCTCCCAGGCTTCTTCAGGACTCTGGTTTGGTACTCTCATCCTAATAATAAAGTCTGTGTTTTGCTATACAGCAGTTTTTCTTATTTGTGATACATTTATAGTATGCTGAAGACTTGGAATTAATTTTTCTATTGTACATAATTTATTTTTGTCTGTTTAGTTCAAATTAATTGAAAAATTATTTCTTTCTGTTTAGTTCAAATTAACGGTGCCAAAAATGGGAACTGTATTGGATTTATGCAACGCACTATCAGCCCATGTGCAGACCAATCCAGACAAGGTAAGTATCAACTGTCAACAGGGTGGGGAAGAATGAGCAGAAAAATGGATACATCATTTTAGACTGTTCTTAATACATCTTAATGTTATTAAGTGTTTATCAGATAGGTAGTAGTAGACATATTTCTCAGTGGTTAAAAGTATTACAGACCAGATTTCTGGTGTGATGGTGAAATTTTCTTATTTCAAACTAACCTTTTATCTACAGTGGTATAGAACAACACAACATTTTGTATCATATATTGGTAGCTGCTTTACAATTTACATGTGTCAAATGTAGTGTGTTAATGGCAGCATTCCTTTATTTAGATAAAAGGGTTCATCTTAACGACATGCTGAATGTAGGTTTTCAGGGTTGAATCAGGATGGACCTGTAGATTTTGAAAAAAAACCCCAAGAAATAACGGTGCAGATCAGTCTGTCCGGCTCTATTTCTTAAACAATATCTCTATTCCAACTGGTTAAACCAATAAAAGAAAATGACTTTGTAAACAGTTGTTCAATATTTGAGATACAAAAGAATATTTGTTTTACAGATGGCAGTAACAGATGTGTATAGTCATAGATTTCACAAAATTTTCTCTCATGACGACACACTAAACAATATACTGGACAGAGATGACATTTTTATGTAAGTACGCAAAAATAACTCTGGCCTAGATCTATGAATGTCTTTCAGTCTGTCTTGATGAAAAGCAAATCTTTCATTCTTAATCACACTGAAGGCGTTGTTTGTCAGATAATTACATGAAGATATATTTCAAATTTGATTTAAAGTTGTGATACATTTTGAATTTTGCAGCCATTCAAACTTCCTTTCTAGTTCTACAAGTTTGCTAGTCGGTGATTTCTAGGATCCATGATCACTTTTATAGAAAACATTTATTTCATTCCCTGATGTTCTGATTGCATTGGATATGTGATAGGACATTTGAACATTTAATATGAATGAAATCGTTGTGTAAATTTGATGTTGATGGTTTTACAGATACGAGGTTCCAGTAGCATGGGATGACCCTGATACTGTCATCGTTCCCATCTATATGAGGGAAAAGAGGTAGGTTATGGTTAAATAGTTACTGAATCTTGATTGATATTCTACTCTATGGCTTGTTGTGTATCTGTGATTATATAGAGAAGGACCTTACTATTTTTGCTTTACAATAAGAAATTGTTGGATGTTAATCAAAATTACTTTTTCTTACATATTTAGCAACAGTTTGGTTGAATTTCTTGGGATTGCTTTAGCTCCATTGATTAAACACTAGACTTAAATTTGTCAGGTGATGATATGAGGTGTGTGATTCTGTTCCTATCCAGGGCAGTTTGTATTTATCAGGAAGCTGGGATTTCAACCTGCCAAGCGCTGTTGTGATTGTGTCCTTGGGCAAGACACTTAAATTTCAGTTAAAACGCTGATAAATATTTAGTCTAATTTAATGCATTATTAACCTTATAGAATGAAGAACCAGTACTCCAGTTATCAAATGTCCACGTATCAGTTGTTTGGCCAGCCCCTCCTCCTCCCGGTCCCACGGAGGGAGTGTACTTACCAAATCCTCTACAACCAGCTCCTACAGAGGGTCTCGTGAGTATAGCATGTTAATCATCAATATAAGGAGATATTTTAGAACCATTTATACCGCAAATGATTTCAGACTCGTTGAATGTTATGTATTCCCATCATAAGGAATATTATTTGTTCTCATCGTCAAGAATATTGTCTATTCATGCAATGATGAATATTATCCTGTCATCATGTATATTCTATTCCTATCATCAGTAATATTATCTATTCTTGTCATCAAGAATATTATCTATTCCTGTCATCAGGAATATATATTCTATACCCATCATCTATACCCAACATCAGGCATATATTTTATACCCATCATCAGGCATATATTCTATACCCAACATCAGGCATATATTCTATACCCAACATCAGGCATATATTCTATACCCACCATCAGGCATATATTCTATACCCAACATCAGGAATATATTCTATACCCATCATCAGCAATATCATCTTTTCCTGTCATCAGAAACAGCAGTTGCTCACTAAGTTTCTTGTTACATTTGTCAGGCGGTATGTAAAAGTTCCTGAGAATGCTGGCTGTTGGTGGAAGGATGAGGAGGACGGACAAATGGCGGACGAGGGAAAAGATAACGGAGAAAGCACCAGTAGTGATGAAACCACAAAGGAAAGTGGAATGGAAAATGACCAGAAACAAATCAATGGAGGTACTGTTACATGGATATAATGACAATATGTAATATAATGTAGCAGTATAAATTCAGTATATCATCAGAGTGTATACAAGGATATAACAATCTGAATTATAATGTAGCAGTATGAATTCAGTATAACATCAGAGTGTGTACAAGGATATAACAATATGAATTATTATGTAGCAGTATAAATTCAGTATAACATCAGAGTGTGTACAAGGATATAACAATCTGAATTATAATGTAGCAGTATAAATTCAGTATAGCATCAGAGTGTGTACAAGGATATAACCATCTGATGTATAATGTAGCAGTATAAATTCAGTATTTCATCAAGCATGTTAAAGATGAATATGAAGGGAAATATTACAAAAATGATTTTCCTTGGTAAATAGATTTGTTGTAGTTTCTTTATAGCGAGCTTATTGCCGTTGCAGATGCTAATGAAATGGAAATATCTGCTGCTAATGGAAGCAAAGATGGTGAAATTGAAGATAAACAAACAGGAAGCAATGAAAACACAGAGAATTGTGATAATATTAACATGGAACCACCACCACTGTTCAAATTTAGGATGGTAAATTCATATGGAAGTGCAGAAATAGACCACAAATTGAAGAATGATGGAAACCCTCTTCGTCTACATAGTAAGTGTCTTAGATCGTTGATAGGGCAATGAACTAACTAGGCAAATGATTTTTCATAAGTCTAGGTATTACACTCGTGGTCACCGAGTCACATTTTATTTTTAAAAATGATGAACTATTGGTGATGAAATGTCGATCTTGGCACGTTGATTGTCTGTAAGAATTATCATATGGTATTTGTCTAACCACTCAATATGTTATTGTAACACAGTTCATATTTACACCAGAGTATCATAACTCATTGGTCAAGCTAAGGTCACACATGACCTGATTTTGAGGTTAAAAATTGGGATAATATCTCTGGAAATTAGTTTTATCATTCACCGATCAAGGGTGAAGAGTACATCTTTAAGCCCCTGCTTTTTGTTTTTGTTTTTGTTGTTTTTCTTTTTTTTTTTTTTTTTTTCACTCCATTCTATCAACTTTGCATTGTTTTGAAATTATATGGTTAAAATGAGTATAATATCTAATAAATCTGGTGCAAAAAGAGCATTCCTTGTATATTTTTCAAGTACTTCTTAATAAAACGATTAGGGTGATCTGAAATTAGTATATTGTGCATGTGTTTATGATGACTGAGAATCTTTTGCTTACTTTCCCACAGACCGTACACATATAGCAGTGGACTGGCACCCTCTAGCTAAGGATCAATTCTACGATGAACAAGCTGCAGAGGTAAAGACACATAACAGATATTTAACCTTTAAATTGTCTATTTCTATGTCTCAATAAAAGCCTTGCCATGCCTGTCATGTGTTGTAGGACGAAAACCTAGCTTTGTGGTTTGTTTTAGAACTATAAACTAGCTTTGTGATGTGTTGTAGACTTAAGTCAAGCTTTGTGATATGCGTTAGGACTAAAATCTAGATTTGTGATGTGTGGTAGACTAAAATTTAGCTTTGTGATGTGTTGTATGACGAAAACCTAGCTTTGTGATGTATTTTACAGGACTTAGAGCAGCACGAATCGGTGAAGCAGAGAGTACAGAGAAAGCAGGTGTTACAGCTTGATGATTGTGTGGAACTCTTCACTCGTGTTGAACAACTGGGTGAAAATGATCTATGGTAAACTTCCTTATCAAGTATCAACTCTTCACTCATGTAGAACAACTGGGTGAAAGTGATGGTTGGTAAAATGTTTATTAAGTCATGTGTAATGACTGGTAGAAAATTATCTATGGTAATTCTTCTTAGACCTTGAACATTTGTAGTGACACAGAACATACAAGTTCAAATCAGAAAATAATGTGTAACACGCCTATACACTGTGTATCTTGGCCACAGACTAAGCTTCCAATAAGCCCACTGTCATGGTGGATCAACAGTGTACTTTGTAATCAAGAGATGTATAAAGGTGAATAATCCAATATATTCTGTATATAGACTTATATCAAAGCTTAATTTTCTCCCTGTGTAGTGGTCTTTGCCATTTAGAGAAAAGCAATCGACAGTCTAAAGTTTGATGTTTAAGCTCAATATATATTTGTATGCATGTGACGGAAAATTCAACAATCTGCAAATTTGGCAAATGGGATAGAAAAAAAAGAAAGAAAAAGAAAATCGAGGTGAATGATTCATGGCATATAATATATACTTGAATTCCATTTAGATATAATCACAGGTTTTCACCTAAGTAATGTTATAGCATCTGTGATCACTGTCTGTATTACACCACTTGGATTAATATACATTTTCTTTTTAGGTATTGTCCACAATGTAAAAAGCACCAACAAGCTACAAAGAAATTTGATCTATGGTCACTGCCAGATGTTCTCATTATCCACTTGAAGAGGTTTTCTTACAACCGTTACTATCGTGACAAGATTGACACACTTATCGAGTTCCCCTACAAGTAAGAGAGTAGAGCATTCTTTCAGTATTTTCTATGAGAAGCTGAGAGATTGTCGCATCTAAAGAAAAATTTCACTCTCTGCATGGCAATGTCATAGAGAATAGATTTATAATTATCCAAACATTTGAATAGTTGTTGAATTATTGAAAACTTTTAGACATGCGAGATATGTGTTTGATTGATTACTGAACTTAAAACACTGTGATAAAAGTGATATATTTTTATCAATGGATGGATCAACTTTTACCAAACCTTCATTATAGATTTCAATGTATTTTTATGTTTTTGGTTACGTCTGTTTTGTATAACAATTGGTGAGGTACTGTCAGTCACATTAGTGTATACAGCTGTACTTGCACAGGTGACCGGCAGGCAAAAAGTGGTCTGTCATTTTACTAGATATCAACTCGAGTTCAATATTCATTTTCTCCTATATAATTATACATAATTCACAGTCCTCTCTCTCATCTCAATTTAGCAGTAGGCGTGTTACATGATAGATACAGTACTAACAGCTGTGTATCAGATATCTAGCTGTTGTGTAGAATACAGTACTAACAGCTGTGTATCAGATATCTAGGTGTTGTGATACAGTACTAACAGCTGTGTATCAGATATCTAGGTGTTGTGATACAGTACTAACAGCTGTGTATCAGATATCTAGGTGTTGTGATACAGTACTAACAGCTGTGTATCAGATATCTAGCTGTTGTGTAGAATACAGTACTAACAGCTGTGTATCAGATATCTAGGTGTTGTGTAGGATACAGTACTAACAGCTGTGTATCAGATATCTAGGTGTTGTGATACAGTACTAACAGCTGTGTATCAGATATCTAGGTGTTGTGATACAGTACTAACAGCTGTGTATCAGATATCTAGGTGTTGTGTAGGATACAGTACTAACAGCTGTGTATCAGACATCTAAGTGTTGTGTAGGATACAGTACTAACAGCTGTGTATCAGATATCTAGGTGTTGTGATACAGTACTAACAGCTGTGTATCAGATATCTAGGTGTTGTGATACAGTACTAACAGCTGTGTATCAGATATCTAGGTGTTGTGATACAGTACTAACAGCTGTGTATCAGATATCTAGGTGTTGTGATACAGTACTAACAGCTGTGTATCAAATATCTAGGTGTTGTGTAGGATACAGTACTAACAGCTGTGTATCAGATATCTAGGTGTTGTGATACAGTACTAACAGCTGTGTATCAGATATCTAGGTGTTGTGATACAGTACTAACAGCTGTGTATCAGATATCTAGGTGTTGTAATACAGTACTAACAGCTGTGTATCAGATATCTAGGTGTTGTGTAGGATACAGTACTAACAGCTGTGTATCAGATATCTAGGTGTTGTGATACAGTACTAACAGCTGTGTATCAGATATCTAGGTGTTGTGTAGGATACAGTACTAACAGCTGTGTATCAGATATCTAGGTGTTGTGATACAGTACTAACAGCTGTGTATCAGATATCTAGGTGTTGTGTAGGATACAGTACTAACAGCTGTGTATCAGATATCTAGGTGTTGTGTAGGATACAGTACTAACAGCTGTGTATCAGATATCTAGGTGTTGGGATACAGTACTAACAGCTGTGTATCAGATATCTAGGTGTTGTGTAGGATACAGTACTAACAGCTGTGTATCAGATATCTAGGTGTTGTGATACAGTACTAACAGCTGTGTATAAGATATCTAGCTGTTGTGTAGAATACAGTACTAACAACTGTGTATCAGATATCTAGGTGTTGTGTAGGATACAGTACTAACAGCTGTGTATCAGATATCTAGGTGTTGTGTAGGATACAGTACTAACAGCTGTGTATCAGATATCTAGGTGTTGTGTAGGATACAGTACTAACAGCTGTGTATCAGATATCTAGGTGTTGTGTAGGATACAGTACTAACAGCTGTGTATCAGATATCTAGGTGTTGTGATACAGTACTAACAGCTGTGTATCAGATATCTAGCTGTTTTGTAGGATACAGTACTAACAGCTGTGTATCAGATATCTAGGTGTTGTGTAGGATACAGTACTAACAGCTGTGTATCAGATATCTAAGTGTTGTGTAGGATACAGCACTAACAGCTGTGTATCAGATATCTAGGTGTTGTGTAGGATACAGTACTAACAGCTGTGTATCAGATATCTAGGTGTTGTGTAGGATACAGTACTAACAGCAGTGTATCAGATATCTAGGTGTTGTGATACAGTACTAACAGCTGTGTATCAGATATCTAGGTGTTGTGTAGGATACAGTACTAACAGCTGTGTATCAGATATCTAAGTGTTGTGTAGGATACAGTACTAACAGCTGTGTATCAGATATCTAGCTGTTGTGTAGAATACAGTACTAACAACTGTGTATCAGATATCTAGGTGTTGTGTAGGATACAGTACTAACAGCTGTGTATCAGATATCTAGGTGTTGTGTAGGATACAGTACTAACAGCTGTGTATCAGATATTTAGGTGTTGTGTAGGATACAGTACTAACAGCAGTGTATCAGATATCTAGGTGTTGTGTAGGATACAGTACTAACAGCTGTGTATCAGATATCTAGGTGTTGTGATACAGTACTAACAGCTGTGTATCAGATATCTAGCTGTTTTGTAGGATACAGTACTAACAGCTGTGTATCAGATATCTAGCTGTTGTGTAGAATACAGTACTAACAACTGTGTATCAGATATCTAGGTGTTGTGTAGGATACAGTACTAACAGCTGTGTATCAGATATCTAGGTGTTGTGTAGGATACAGTACTAACAGCTGTGTATCAGATATCTAGGTGTTGTGTAGGATACAGTACTAACAGCTGTGTATCAGATATCTAGGTGTTGTGATACAGTACTAACAGCTGTGTATCAGATATCTAGGTGTTGTGATACAGTACTAACAGCTGTGTATCAGATATCTAGGTGCTGTGATACAGTACTAACAGCTGTGTATCAGATATCTAGGTGTTGTGTAGGATACAGTACTAACAGCTGTGTATCAGATATCTAGGTGTTGTGTAGGATACAGTACTAACAGCTGTGTATCAGATATCTAAGTGTTGTGTAGGATACAGTGCTAACAGCTGTGTATCAGATTTCTAGGTGTTGTGATACAGTACTAACAGCTGTGTATCAGATATCTAGGTGTTGTGTAGGATACAGTACTAACAGCTGTGTATCAGATATCTAGGTGTTGTGTAGGATACAGTACTAACAGCTGTGTATCAGATATCTAGGTGTTGTGATACAGTACTAACAGCTGTGTATCAGATATCTAGGTGTTGTGTAGGATACAGTACTAACAGCTGTGTATCAGATATCTAGCTGTTGTGTAGGATACAGTACTAACAGCTGTGTATCAGATATCTAGGTGTTGTGTAGGATACAGTACTAACAGCTGTGTATCAGATATCTAGGTGTTGTGATACAGTACTAACAGCTGTGTATCAGATATCTAGGTGTTGTGTAGGATACAGTACTAACAGCTGTGTATCAGACATCTAAGTGTTGTGTAGGATACAGTACTAACAGCTGTGTATCAGATATCTAGGTGTTGTGATACTGTACTAACAGCTGTGTATCAGATATCTAGGTGTTGTGATACAGTACTAACAGCTGTGTATCAGATATCTAGGTGTTGTGTAGGATACAGTACTAACAGCTGTGTATCAGATATCTAGGTGTTGTGATACAGTACTAACAGCTGTGTATCAGATATCTAGGTGTTGTGATACAGTACTAACAGCTGTGTATCAGATATCTAGGTGTTGTGATACAGTACTAACAGCTGTGTATCAGATATCTAAGTGTTGTGTAGGATACAGTACTAACAGCTGTGTATCAGATATCTAGGTGTTGTGTATGATACAGTACTAACAGCTGTGTATCAGATATCTAGGTGTTGTGATACAGTACTAACAGCTGTGTATCAGATATCTAGGTGTTGTGATACAGTACTAACAGCTGTGTATCAGATATCTAGGTGTTGTGTAGGATACAGTACTAACAGCTGTGTATCAGATATCTAGCTGTTGTGTAGAATACAGTACTAACAGCTGTGTATCAGATATCTAGGTGTTGTGTAGGATACAGTACTAACAGCTGTGTATCAGATATCTAGGTGTTGTGATACAGTACTAACAGCTGTGTATCAGATATCTAGGTGTTGTGTAGGATACAGTACTAACAGCTGTGTATCAGATATCTAGGTGTTGTGATACAGTACTAACAGCTGTGTATCAGATATCTAGGTGTTGTGTAGGATACAGTACTAACAGCTGTGTATCAGATATCTAGGTGTTGTGATACAGTACTAACAGCTGTGTATCAGATATCTAGGTGTTGTGATACAGTACTAACAGCTGTATATCAGATATCTAGGTGTTGTGTAGGATACAGTACTAACAGCTGTGTATCAGATATCTAGGTGTTGTGATACAGTACTAACAGCTGTGTATCAGATATCTAGGTGTTGTGTAGGATACAGTACTAACAGCTGTGTATCAGATATCTAGGTGTTGTGTAGGATACAGTACTAACAGCTGTGTATCAGATATCTAGGTGTTGTGTAGAATACAGTACTAACAGCTGTGTGTCAGATGGAGTTATTCCAAAATGTCATTCAAAAATTCTGTCAGTATCTGATATTATTTACTGTAGGGGGCTTAATCTGAAGAAGTACTTGATCAACAAAGAGCATGGATGTGCCACCTATGACTTGATAGCCGTCACTAATCATTATGGAGGTCTAGGTGGTGGTCACTGTAAGTATATCACACAGTCCAGTGTTCCCTTGTTCCTTATTCAGATAAATTATCAATTGTGAACTTTTTACAAGGACATGTTCTGACATGAAATGTGTTGAGACATTGCTAAAATAAACACCTGATTTAAATTTGATTAAATAAAATGTTTCAGCTGTAATATGAGTGACGGGGTAAAAAGGAGACATAAGGTACAATGATATATATTGGATAGTAGAACATGAAAGTATCTTATTGCAAGCTTGTATTTATTTAAACCTGCTCATCATCTTTCCCAGAAAAAAAGGTCAGAGTTTGCCTGTAGGGGAGAGTGCCTTACATTAGACTGAAACAGTATAGTGAAAACCCATTAAGTCAAACTTCTTGGAGCAATGTTGATAGTTTTGAAGAATTTAGAGTATTAAGGAACCAGAAGTTGGATATAGACAGTCATGCATTGACCATCCCTGAAAGTCTGTGAATGATGTATACAATAACTTCCTCTTTGTTGAGTCTTATTTATGACTATACCTATGTTGATTACTTGAGATGGAGAAATGTGTAATATTTCATTCATGGCACTGTTTCTTATTGCAATATCTAACATGCAGAAATCATGTTTCTGAAAATGACCGAACAATGAATACTTGTTGTTACTGTATGTTGTGAGCTTACCTCATCTGCTAAAAACTGATAAACAATGTGGAGAATCATGTTCGCTAATTCATCTGTATCCTTTCGCTAAATATGTGCTATTCCATAATTTGATTTTACACTAAAAACAAGTTTCTGTATGAACAGTTCTAACATACTTATAGGTAATGTCCCAATCAAACAGTGTATCTGGTGACATAATTCTCTGCTGTCCTGTCAGATATCTGTATAAACAAGGTGAGTTACACTGGCAGAAGTGATGGGTGACACATTTTAATTTCAAAGAGCATGACACCATTTCCATGAATAGCGGGGACGAATAACCATGAAGATTGAAATGATTGAAATGAGTTTGAAGAATGTTGGGTATTTTAGGAAAAAGGGCTCTATGAAAATATCATGTTGGAAAACAGTCAGGACCAAGCTATCAGTTCAAAGAATAGGGGGTATTGGAGTAATGTGGGTTGGAATGAGTTTTGCGGTATCTTTGTTTCCTGAGTTGTCTGCCCTTGTTACAGACACAGCCTATGGAAAACGTGTGGAGGATGAAGAATGGCATTATTTTGATGACTCCAGTGTTTCATCTGCCTCAGAGGACGATGTCACGGTAGGGTTGATTTATATCAATTATTGTCTGGAAAAGATTTGTAAACTGCTATCTTGTATATTTGTATCATTATGCAGAAAATTCCATTGAAGTGCTCAAAACATGCATCAGTATTATAAGGAAATGTTCTTACCTTACCCAACCTTCATCAGATTATGGACTTTTCACATCTCCCTATGTCCATGGTCTGCTATCTGTCCGTTAAAAAAATCTTGTAATTGGCTATTTCTTCAGAAGTATGGGTGTGTCTTTCTTCAATTTTATGGGAAAGTTCCCCATGGTACCCTTGTGCCCTTGAAATTTTTAAGAATTGTCATAAAACAAAATGACTGACAAAAACAGGAGAAAAGAAGGGGAAAGATTTAACTATTAGAGAGAGCAAACTTGGACCAAACAATTATGAGAGCATACATCCCTCTTAGAACTCTTTCTGTGACTGTATGATAATTTTCTAATCTGAATTTAACATTAAAACCTCTCTGTATCCTGTTTTGGATTTATTCTCATCCTGCCGTTGACTGTACATCATACTTGATGTTAATGATTGGCTAAGGGGTCACCTGGCCGCCCACATAGGTTTTCCCCGGGTACTCCGGTTTCCTCCCACAATAAGACCCCCCGCACGCTTACATCTGGGCCAACAAGAGTGATCAGTATAAGTTGACATAACTTGTTTCGCAATTGTTGTAAAATAAATAAAGTTTATATTTAACAGTTCAAATGATTGGCTTTTGATTGGTACTGCCTTTTCTGCTACTGTATGAAGAGAAGCTCTGCACCAAAAAAGCTCTCTTTTCATTCAGACATCTCTATTCTACAATAGTGATTTGATTCATGAACATGATGAGAACAAAGCTTATAGCTGATCCGTCGATGGTCAATCTGGATTTTCTTATGTTGTCCTTTTGTTACCTGAAGAGATATGTGACCAATGCTTGTGTATTTGAGGCATATCTATAGTAGATTTATAAAGAGTAAAATTTCTATTTCGTTAACACAGATATTTTATTTTCTGTTTTCAGTCTAAAGCTGCTTATGTGCTTGTGTATGAGAAACAGGGGACTCGCTCCAAACAGATGAAATGTACCCAGAATTCACATACTGCTGGAGGTGCCATGGAGAATGGCAGCACTAACAGCCTGAGTGACGAGGAGATGGAGACAACTTAAGATACAATGTTGGGTATAGCTTGAGGTGGAGCATGTGATCTTGGGGTTATACCTCCAAATGTAACTTTTGACCTCTGGGACGCTGAAGTATGATGTGATAGAAGGCTGTCCACAGTTTCAGAAAGAGGATTTGAGAACTTGTCATAGACAAAAACTGAACTACAATAGTGTATTGTGTCAGTCCTATGAGTGGAAAACATGTATCTGATTGGCTGTTCTCATTTGCATTTAATACAGATAACAGTTGGAGAAGGACTTGTGTTCCTTTCTTAATATGTTCAGTGGAACTAGTGTGTGTAACAAGAGTGTGAAATCATCAGTGTAGTAGTGTTGTCAATGTTCTGTAAGGAATATTGATCATCATATCCTAAGATTCATGTAGCACTGGAGCAATAATTTATGTCACTGTGTTCTAATCAGGTGTTAGCTGGCACTGAAGGAACTCATTGTGTCAGAAGGTTCTAGCCTTCCAGCTTCATGTCTTAAACATAGAACCCTTGTCTTTCTTCCTTAGGACAACCCCATTGTGTAGGGACCAGTCTGTAACTGCCCTTCTTCGGCTAACTCCAGTATCCCACTGTGACAAGTCTTTAACTATACTACTTAGGACAACTCCAGTGTGTCATTATTGGGCCGGCCTGTGTGTCCTACTGTAGTCAGTCTATGGCAACCCTACTTAGAACAACACGGTGTGTTCTACTGTAATGTGCTTGTGACAATTCTACTAAGAACAACTCCAGTTTGTCCACCTCTAGTTAGCTTGTGCCATCCTTAATAAGGACAACTTAAGTCTGTCCTACTGTAGCTAGTCTATGGCAACCCTAATTAGGAAACCTTCAGTCTGTCCTGCTGTAGCTAGTCTATGACAACCCTACTAAGGAAACATCCAGTGTGTCCTACTCCAGCTAGTCTATGACAACCCTACTTAGGAAACCTCCAGTCTGTCCTACTGTAGCTAGTCTATGACAACCCTACTTAGGAAACCTCCAGTGTGTCCTACTCAAGCTAGTCTGTGGCATCCCTGCTTAGGAAACCTCCAGTCTGTCCTACTCCAGCTAGTCTGTGGCATCCCTGCTTAGGAAAACTTCAGTGTGTCCTACTGTTGTCTGTGTCAACCCTACAAAGGAAAACTCCAGTGCATTTACCTCTGCTTTGTGGATGTCCTGCTTTATTCAGCTCTGTTTTATCGTAGCTTTCCTGTTATTTAATATCATCTATTTAATCAACGAGCGGACAAACCTATCTATGCTCTCAAGAGGTTGATAAGACAATTGATGTACTAGACTTAGATGCTTTCTGATATTTGTAAATACGACACCTTGCTCTGTACTAAGTTTATAAAAATAAGTTGATGTACTTTTGTAAATATGTTTTGTATATATTTGAATAAACAACATTGTATCATATTGATACTAGTTTGAAGATCTAACTTATTATCACAAAACTGTATTGTGTTTACCAGAATAAAACTTCATTTAAAAGGATTAGAGTAGGGTTCCTTCATGGTATGTAATTAATGCACTTTTCCCACAACACAAGAAGTTCAGATTAATTTGTACAGTGCTGTTTTGTGTCATTGCTGAAAGGAGGTACGAGTCATGTGGGATGTGACCTTGATTGGCTGGTATGACCTTTGAAATAGGATGTACATGGACTGGATGTGACCTGGATAGATAAAATACAGGCTATATAACTCCATATGAACAGGATATTACCTTCATGAGCTCACACAGAGAGGATTTCACCTTTTATAAGTTCATACAGACAGGATATGACCTTTTTAAGTTTACACAGGATGTGACCTTTTTAACTTGTCATAGACCCAATATCCCCTTTCTGTGAAGATTTACACAAACATGATTGTACTGATGTAAAATTTCAAACAGACAGGATACCACCTTCAAGAGTTTTCATAGACAGGATATGACCTTTTCAAGCTCATGCAGACAGAATATGACCTTTTCAAGCTCATGCAGACAGGATATGGCCTTTCAGCAGATTTTGTGGTACATACCTGATACCTAATTACTCTATATTACCTGTTAATTAATTACTTCACAGAGTGTGCTCGTGTTTTGATGCAAATTGTGGTCTTTTAATGCTTCAGACTCTTAAAATTAGCAGTGTTCTTCCACTTCATTTAGTTAATCTTCTGTTTATTATAACTGGGTGAATATGGTAGTGATACTGATGAAAGAGGTCTTTAGTTGTATGTGGTTCTCAAGACCTGTTTAGTATGTGAGAGATGGTTGAATTAGAAAACAAAATGGTAATAGTTGTTCTTTGTTTATTGAACCAATTATATCCTAAAATAATGGATGGTCATGTTGTGAAGTGGTTATGTGCTCACTTAACAACTGTATTCCAGGGTCTGATTACCCAAATGGACGCAAGTATATATGAGGGCACCTGCATAACCATGTTGGTTTTCCCAGACATTCTGCTTTCCCCTTTCAGTAATATCTCTTGTGTGCTTCCATTTAGACAAACAAGAGTGAGAAATTTAAGTCAAAAGAGTTTGTTTCATAATTGTTAAAGTATCCTGCAGCAGTCCCAGATATGTCATTGTGTATAATCAACGACACAACAGAACCACATATAACAACTCCAGGAAGCAGCATTTTAGCCCTGACTCATATTCAGGTAGCGGGTCTATTTCTTGACAAGAAATGTATTTATAAATAGCATAAAACATGAACATGCTTATTACCAGATATGGGCTTATTGCCAATAAAGATGGTAGTCTAACCACCACTATTTGTGTGCTGGTTTTGTCATCCCATGGACAGCAAGGGTCTTGTAGTTACCGGTGGCTACCTCAATGAGAATGATAGGAAAAGCCCATCACATCCAGAGCAATGATGGTAAATTGTCTCACCCAAGGAATGAAAACGACTAAGATAGATTTACTGGTCTGTTTCTCTGCTTTCTAAGAAATACACACTGCCACAGATGTGGAACAAGAAACAACACACTTCCAATCTTGAGCATAGGTTATTAGTGTTAATGTCACTCTGAATAAGCAACCATGACCTCCATTTACCAGCTTAGTTCATAGAAAATTACTGACTGGATTTAAGATTGTGCAACTACTCAGTATTGTGTATAAGGTAACTACGGTCCAATTCCTCTGTTAAGTCAGAGGTACGCAGTCAGTGTAGTACACCAGAGGTCGAAGGTCAGTGTGGTAAGTCCGAGGTACCAGGTCAGTGTAGTACACCAGAGGTCAAAGGTCAGTGTGGTAAGTCCGAGGTACCAGGTCAGTGTGGTAAGTCCGAGGTCGAATGTCAGTCTAGTAAGTCCGAGGTACCAGGTCAGTCTAGTAAGTCAGAGGTACCAGGTCAGTGTAGTACACCAGAGGTACCAGGTCAGTCTAGTAAGTCAGAGGTACCAGGTCAGTGTAGTACACCAGAGGTACCAGGTCAGTGTAGTACACCAGAGGTACCAGGTTAGTGTGGTAAGTCAGAGGTACCAGGTCAGTGTAGTTAATCAGACGTACCAGGTCAGTTGAGTAAGTCAGAGGTACCATGTCAGTGTGGTATGTCAGAGGTACCAGGTTAGTGTAGTAAGTCTGAGATACCAGGTCAGTGTGGTTAGTCAGAGGTACCAGGTAAGTGGAGGTAACAGGTTAGTGTGGTACACCTTAGGTACCAGGTTAGTGAAGTAAGTCAGAAGTACCAGGTCAGTGTAGTAAGTCATAAGTACCAGGTTAGTGTGGTAAGTCAGAGGTAACAGGTTAGTGTGGTACACCAGAGGTACCAGGAAAGTGTGGTACACCAGAGGTACCAGGTCAGTGTGGTAGGTCAGAGGTACCAGATCAGTGTGGTAAGTCAGAGGTACCAGGTCAGTGTAGTACACCAGAGGTACCAGGTTAGTGTAGTAAGTCAGAGGTACCAGGTCAGTCTAGTACACCAGAGGTACCAGGTCAGTGTGGTAAGTCAGAGGTACCAGGTTAGTGTAGTAAGTCAGAGGTACCAGGTCAGTGTGGTACGCCAGAGGTACCAGGTTAGTGTGGTAAGCTAGAGGTCCCTGGTTCTATTCCAAACAAAGTTGTTGGAAAACAAATAAATTCTGTTTCATTGGTATAGAAATAAATCAAGTACATAACTATTATTGGCAAGAGAGTAAGACAAATCAAGTCTGGGATCAATTGTTCCTTTGTGAAATATTCAGAATTTCATATCTAGTGAATGACACATACTCAAACTTGTATGGTGATATTGTGTCGAGATGTTGAGTAACACATGAGATTAGGTGGATATAATGTTTTGTCCCAGGTAAAATTGAATGTTTCTAAGTGTTTAGTGACTCCAGAAATTGTGTGAATCTAAATGTTTCGTGGCTGATGTGATATTGAGCTAATCATTTTCATGTATATTTTTTGATAAAAGCCTACAAAATTTAAATTTCAATGTTGATATCTGTTAAAAATTCTGATTTCTTCATGTCTAAAATCAAGACTAAAATATCTGATTTTTGGATAGGTAAACAAGTTGATTGCCAATTTAGTTGGCTGATAATTGAGTCCATATAATTTATATTGAACATTTAGATAAATACTCTGCTTTAGATCAATAGTGTTGATAGAATTCATATAAGCATGAAACTCCAGTGTTTTGCCCATTATTATTATTATTATTATTTTAACAAGTTAACTGGTAATAAGTATTTCTATTACTGTATGCTATTAATTTTCTGTAGAAGTCCCCGTATTGGGATCCTGTAACATTAAGCATCATAACACGCTGGTCAGGGAGAAACATTTTACTATTTTACTAACATAAATGGCAAAAAAATCTGTGTGTTAGGAAACAATGCATTCATCATTTTTATACCAAAAAAAACATTAAAGGGAAAATATAAAGAAAAAAATACATATTCAAAAAAAAATCCCCGCTGAGATTTGAACCCTATATCCTAACTGGTCCATTTACATGCACCACTTCTATCTTAATTATGCCTTCCTTCAGTGATCACCTAACCTTGTCATTATCTGACTGACGCACATCTGTTGCAGTGACCAATATGTATGACCTTGACCTCAAGCCAGGAAGCAGGTGACATGTTGATGTGACTTTAAAAATAGAATATTGTTTTCCTAAAATTGTGTTTTCGTATTAAAAAGAGATTAGCTTGAAGGTTAAATGATCAATTTGAGAAAAAAAGAAAAATAGATACTTATGCAGTGAGAGTTAATTGGAGCATGACCGTTTAAAAGCTTTACAATACAGATTTTATCAAATCCACAATTGACCGATATGGCGATGGATGAAAACAAAACAGAGCAACACAAAATGGTCACCTTTTCCTGGACTCTGATTGGTCAAATTTTAAAACTGCCCGATTTCCATGAAAATTGGTATGTAGGTGCGGTTTTACACCAGAACTGTAAGAAACATATTGCTGACATCCATTTTCTCTTTGGACAAAATTGGCTGCCACATATCGGCTTTAGAATGGTTGAATTTAGATGTTCAGAAATTGGTTTATGGGTATTGTCCCACCTCAGGACAAGGTTGAAACTCTTTTTCTTATTGGTCAAAAGGTTGCTCTATATATTTGACTTACATGATAAAATTCAAATATTGTTTGATTTTTTATTTTCATCACATTTCATATCAATCTTAATTTAACACTATGCAAATAAGGATGTATTGGTGACATGTACTGGTCCCGTTTCAAATAGTACTTGTTTCTGTTGAAATGCAGTAATTCTAATGTTTTCTTTAGCTAGAATCAAATCTACACAATTTATGACGCAGATTTAACAGTTTAAATTCTTTCAGTCAGGTTTTATCACTTTTAGACTGAAATATCATGACTATTCATGTAATTGAATCACAGCAACATTTCTATTTTGTCAACTTTTCTAGACTAGTGTATTTTTCAAATTAAGTGTGATTTGTTATACAAGTTTTCTAACAAATAAAAGATAATTTCTGTACCTGTTAATTACTGTACCTGTTATACAAGGTAATATATATAATCTGTGACATTCTGTATCGATTGTTTGTATGGTGTAGTTGTTGCAGATGTAAAATTTTGATATTTTACATTTTAATTGCAAATAAATTATTGATTAATATGAATTTTGTTTTATTTAAATATTTAGGTCATCTGAGACAAAGTGTTAACATATTGCCTGTTGTCCGGTGTGTAAGTCATGTGTTGATTGCCATCCATTTGTTAACATTTTTGACTTCATCTCAAAAATACCTGAACCAATTTCAATAAAATTTTGCAGAAACCTTACCTGGTCAAAGATTAACCAATAATGAATTATACAGTCTCAACCCCTGGGCGGCGGGGAAAAACGAGTCAAATTGACTTAAGTTTTAAAAAATCCTCTTCTCAACACCCAGATATGGAAGAATCAAATGCTCTTCATTGATGAAAGCATCTTAAT